CGCCCCACACCCCTCAAACCCACCTTCGCCCCCCCTCGCCGCAGGCGTGCGGCTGACCATCGCCGCCTCTGCCGCCGCCACCGTGCTGTACACCCCCCTGATCAAGCGCCACCTGCTGGCCAAGAACCTGGTGGTGGCTGCCACCATCGCGGCGGCGCCGCTGGCGGGCGCGCTGGCCGCGGGTGCCGCAGGAGCGGGCCTGCGCGCCGTGCTGGCCCCCACCGCCTTCCTCTTCCTGGGCATCCTGCACCGGGAGATCATGATGGACATCCAGGTCGGGAGGACAGGAGGGGGAGGTGGTGGTGTTTTGCTTGTTGGTGGGGAGGAAAGGAGAGGGAGGTGGTGGTGTTTTGCTTGCTTGCTGGCTTGCCTGCTGGCTTGCTGGCTTGCCTGCTTGCTTGTTTTCCGTCGTTTAAGGGAGGGTGCTGGAGGCTGGTGCCGGGCTGCGCCTGGGGCAGGGGCTGGGCTGCGGCTCCTGCTGCAGTTTTGGGAGCAGGTGCTGGGATGGAGCTGTGTCTTGGCTGGGCTGGCCGCGCTTGTGTGCCTGCCCTCCATCGCCCGCCCCTGAGGCGCTTGGCACGCCGCCGCCTGCCTGCCTGCCTGCCTCCCTCCCCGCAGGACCGGCGCGGCGACGGCGCCTCTGGAGTGCGCACGCTGCCGGTGGTGCTGGGCCCGCGCGCCACGGTGGGCGCCTGCTTTGCCCTGCTGGCGGCCAGCCTGGCGCTGACGGCGCACGCCGCGCTGCATGGCAGCGGCCTGGCCTGGGCCTGGGCCGCACGCCCCGGGCTGGAGGCGCCGCTGCGCGCCGCAGCCCTGGCCCTGGCCTCGTGGAACCTGCTGCAGCCGGCGACGGCCGCGCTGCGCGTGCTGCGCGCCGGATTTGCCCGGGAGGCGGTGGCTGCCGCCGTCTCTCACTCCATGGCCAGCATCTCCCTGGGCACACTGCTGCTGGCGCTGCTGGTCTGAGCCTTGCGGCCTAAACCTGTTCCCGGAGGATATCCCGCCTCTCCTACTAGCCCAGCCCCAGCCGATCCAGCCCCAGCCCAGCCCAGCCTAGCCCTCTCCTAGCCGCCCAGCCCTCTCCATCCCAACCAGGACGGCCAGGAGCCTCGCCTGGACCCAGAGTAGTTGCTAGTTCATCGCTCCCCAGTGGCGGCACCTTATGTACCCAGGACGCCACCCGAAACCCTATGGTTTTTCCTCGCCCTTCCAGCCAGCAGCTCGGTAGATGCAGACTGCACTGCTTTTCTCCACAAGGTGTGGTGCTACCAGCATCTTCTGTCCTCGATCTTTCCCGCCCCTGTTATTTTTAACACATGCCGTTAAACTTCAACACCCATGCTCTCCTATTCCACGAACCAAACCTCTTTGCCTTCTTTCTGATGTGCGCCTGCCTGCTTGATGCCGCCGCTCCGACATGACGATTGCCTGCCTGACCATGATGCATCGATACGACCCCCCTTCCTGCTTCCCCATGCAACCACGCTTGCTACATATCCACACATACCCAGCGCCCTCAGCTGACCACAATCTGTGTACCCATCCCCTCCTTTGCCTCTCTTCCTCACCCGCTCGACCCTCCTGGCTCTGGGCCAGGCTGCCAACCCCCCCTCCAGTTTTTCGTGACGCGCAGCCCTGGCTATGCTCTGTTACAACCAGCCCCTCCTCTGTGCTCCCTATCCCTCCTCCTATGGAGGTCTCCCTGGCCCGCTGTGTTCACCCCGGGTTCTACATGCTCTATGGCTGTTGATACGATGAACTTGCCACCAGTTTTTCCTAACCACGCCTTCAGCCAATTGCTTCTGCAGATTGAGAGCTTTAAAGCTGTGCCAACAAATGCGTCCTAAGCGTAAGCAAACCCGCGCTGACTGGCGCTCGTCAGCACTGCATCAGGCCGCCCTCTCCAGTGTCAGCCGCGCGCCGCACCACATCCAGCCCCGGCCGCACCCCTTGCAGCCGCTCAATGGCTGCCGTCACCGCCTCCTCCGCCGCCCCGGGGTTGGCCGCAATGACCAGCAGGCGCAGGCACGGGCAGGGCCTCGAGTTATCCTCGCCGGTGCCGGTGGCGGCGGTGGCGGTGAGGGCCTCCAGCAGTGGCAGGAGCTCTGCCGCCTCCAGCTTGTTGCCAGACACATCCAGCTCTTGCAGGAGGGAGAAGGTGCCCGGCGTGGCGAGCTGCTGTGCCGGCGCAGCCGGGGCCAACGAGCCCGCCGCGCCGCTGCTGCCCTGGCCGCCGCCGCCAAGCTTGCAGTCGTGCAAGCAGAGGGCTGAGAGGGGGGCCGTGGCCAGGGCCGCTACCGCTGCCGCGCCTGCTGCGTTTCGACTCAGATCCAGCGCCAAGCCCGGTGCTGCCGCTCCTGCGTCCTGCTCCGTCCCCTCTGCCGATCCTCTGTTGCCCAGGGCTTCAGCCAGCGCCGCAATGCTGCCATCCTCCAGCCCGCAGGCGCACAGGAGCAGGCTGGACAGCTGCGGCGCGGCGCCTGCAGCCAGCGCTGCCGCAAGGGCCGCGCCGCCCTGGCAGCTCAGGGCGTTGCCGCCCATGTCCAAAACAGCCAGGCCCCCCGGCAGGGCTGCTGTCAGCGAGGCCGCCCCCTGCGGGCCCAGCGAGCAGCGCTGCATGTGCAGCTGCTGCAGGCGCGCCGCGCCGCTGCTTCCCAGCGAGGGCGCCAGTGCTGCTGCCCCCTCTGCGCCCAGCTCGTTTCCATCCACCCGCAGCACACGCAGGCTGGGAAGCGCGCCCTGCTTCAGGGCCGCGGCCAGCGGCTGCACGCCGTCGGCGCCTTCCAGCCCGCATGCGGTCAGGTCTAGCAGCCGCACGCTGCTGCAGGCGCCGCCACAGCCCTCCAGCAGCGCTGCCAGGCCCGCGCCGCCCAGGCTGTTCTGTCCCAGCAGCAGCTCGTGAAGGCCGCCGCCGCCGCCGCCGCTGCGGGCTGCCATGGCTGCCGCCAGTGAGGCGCACCCTGCCGCCGACAGACCCTTGGCCTCCAGGTTGAGGTGCCTGAGGGAGAAGCTGGCAGCAATGCCAGGCGCCAAGGCAGCCAGGGCCTGCAGAGCGGGGCCAAGCGGCGCAGAGCGCGCGCCCTTCAGGGGCTCACTACGGGCTGCCGGTGCATTTCCAGCAGCAGATGCAGCAGTGGCCAAGCAGAGACCTCCAGTTGCATGCCCACCTCGTCCCCAAAGCTCCTGTTGCCGAGGTCCAGGCTGCGGAGCGTGGTGTTGGCGGCCAGCGCGCGGGCAAAGGCGGCGGCGGCCGCGGAGCTGACGGGGTGGCTGCTGACAATGAGCTCCTGCAGCGTGGTATTGGCCTCCATCGCGGCTGCAAACCGCGATGCGTCTTCATCCGTGAACCGGCGGCCGCGCAGCAAGCAGAGGGTTGTGCATGTGGGGTCGTTCCTCTCCAAGCGCTCCACCAGATCATCGATGCCCCTCTGGGCCGCACCCCACACCATGGCTTCAATGTGCATGCATGTGCAGGGAGTGAATTGTTTTGAGTAGGGAGCCTGGTGAGCTGGCTGCCACACGTTGCATTTTAGAGCCCCTTGGCAACTCACCAGCACTCTCCATCGTGCAAAGGAGGCACAGACGTTCCGTTCGGTCACCAGGCAGAGTGATCAGAAACAAAGTTCCTGAAAATGTGTTGATTGCACCGCCTGTGTCCATGAAGCGCAAGCGCGCACCCAAAAGGGACGTGCCCAGACCCGAGGAACGCAATTTCCTCGCGCCGCCAGAGCACGACGAGGGCGGCGGCGGCGACGGCGGCGGCGGCGAGGGGGTCGACTGGGCGGCTGGGGAGGCGGGCTTGGAAGACAGCGATGACAGCGAGGGCTACGCGTGGCGTCCCGTCAAGCGCGGGCACCGCCACCGGCGGCGACGACGGGTGCTCGGCGGCGAGGAGGATGGGCCCCTGACCGTCGCCGTCCAGGCGGCGCCGCCGGCGGAGCAGCGGTGGCGTTTCGCCGAGCTGGCGGTTGAGTGGCGGGAGGCTGGCTCCTCCTCCAGCCAGCAGCGGCTGGAGCTCGAGGACGGCCAGCTGCGGCTCTGCCTGCCACCAGACGGCGGCGATGTCAGGGTGCACTACCAAGCCAGCGGCGGCGCCCTGTGGCTGGGCGCCACCGCTGCCCCTCCCGCAGAGGGGGAGGCCCTGCTGCTGCTCCTCAAGTCTGGCCACCTCAGCTGCAGCGTGCCAGCCCTGCCAAGCGGCGCCAGCGGCAGCGCCAGCGGCAGGCTCCACCTCAGCCTCACAGACAAGGCAGCGGCCGATGCGGCAGAGCACGCCGAGGAGCAGCAGCAGCGGCAGTGGCACCGCCAGCTGCTGGCGGTGCTGCGCTGGCTGCTGCCGCAGCTGGATCCAGAGCAGGAGCTGGAGCTGCAGTCCCCTCAGAAGCAAGCCGAGCTGCTGGCCAGCCCTCTGTGCAGCCCACGGGCCGCCGCCGGCGCTGCCGCTGCGGGCTTTGGCAACCCCGCCGCAGCTGCAGGAACAGCAGCCGCAGGGCTGGCTTCGCCTCGCAGCCCCGGCGCCGCCGCTGGCGGGGTGCCTGGGGCGGCTGCGGGCTTTGATGTGTCAGAGCTGTATGCAGCGGTGAAGCCCACGGGGCGGGAGCCCGAGCTGCCGGCGTGCGCTACGGCTGCCTACCTGCTGCCCACGCTACGCCGCTACCAGGCGCGGGCAGCCCAGTGGATGGTGCTGCGCGAGCAGGGCTTGGTGGCTGCTCCAGGAGAAGCAGCAGCAGCGGCAGCGGCAGCAGGGGGCTCACAGGCAGCCGATATCAAGGCGGAGGAGGGGCATCAGGCGCGGGATGGGGCCGAGCCACCGCTGCACCCGCTGTGGCGGCGAGTGCCGTGCTCGGCTGGCGGCGGCGACGGCAGCAGCAGCGACGCCGGCGCCTGCTTCTTTGTGAACGCATACAACGGAAGGATAAGCCTGGAGCGGTTCCCGGCGACGCCAGAGGTGAGCAGCAACGGCTGGCGGCTGGCCGGGTGCAGGGGCGTGGGAGGGCATGCCCTGCCCGCTCGCCTCCCTACCAGCCCTTGTGGTAGCGCCTGAGCCCAGCCCCCATCACCACACATGCACCACCGCCTCCCCCAACACACACAAAGACACACCTCACGCATGTATGCACGCCCCTTGCCTGCCGCCCCCCCTTGTGCTTGCAGGTGCGGGGAGGGATCCTATCGGACGAGATGGGATTAGGTGCGTCTGCGCCTGCTGGGTGGGCAGGGCGCAGTGGAAGGCCAAACAGCTGAGCTGTGGCAACATTGTGTTGGGGCCAAGGCGTGCAGCTGCAGACGCCCGCGGGCCGCGTCGGGCGTTCTGTCCTTGAACAGGACCTGGCACAGCATGCCTCCCCATCCCCACCCTCACTGTGCCTGCCACCTGAACGGGCCTTGCAGGCAAGACCGTCGAGCTGCTGGCATGTATCGCGGCCCACCCCTACACCGGCCCACCTCCCACCTTCCAAAAGCCGCAGCAGGGCGGGCAGCGCGGCAGCAAGAGGTGGGTGCACGGGTGTGTGGGGTGGAGGCGGCCGCCTGCCTGCTGCTGGGTTGATTGCTGGCTGGCTGCTGGAAGAGCCAACACGGCCCACAACTTGCCGTCCCGCTGCCCGGCGAAGGAGGGCGGCGCGTGTGGCGTGCCTGTGCGGCGCCACCTCAGAGGAAGGCTACGAAGGTGCGACTGCCTGCTGCCTGCCGCCTGCTGCCCTGCACAGCCGTGTCCTGTTGTGCCCAGGCGTTTGCCCTGCCCTGCCCTTGCTGCCATGCTGCCGGTGGCATGGAGGCCCCGCCCAGCCACGACACCGCCGGGTGTGCGCAGCGCTGCTGCGCTGCAGCCGGGGTGGCCCCTCCCTATCAGGTGCACCGTTGTACTGCCACTGTACCGCTTTGTACCGCATCGTACCGCAGGCTTGTGGCTCCAGTGCGACTCATGCGACACCTGGCTGCACGCCGCCTGCTGCGGCCTGCGCCGTGCGCCCCCCGGCGACTTTGTGTGCGGCGGCTGCCAGCGCGCGGCGGCGGCGGCGCGAGTGGCTCAGGACTGTGGCGCCACGCTGGTGGTCTGCCCCACCCCCATCCTGCACCAGTGGTGGGTGCGGGGCTCCGGGTGTGGCACCATCCAGGGTGCCACTGTCTGGTGGCAGCAGCCTGGGAGCAGCAGCCGACAGCTGGGGGCGCCTCACTTTGGCCGGGGCTGGCGCTGCTGCTTCAACACACCTGCACCGCCGCATCCCCACTCACCGACAACGCTCATCCACATGCGCGAGGGCTGCTGTGCTCCGCAGGCGGGACGAGATTCTGAGGCACATCAAGCCCGGCGCCCTGAGGCTTCTGATTTACGAGGGCCAGCCGCAGCCAGGGGCGGGTGGGCAGCCGCAGCGCCAGCCCTCCATCCAACCGGCCAGGCAGCAGCAGTGCCCTCTCGGCTGTTGCCCGCCTCTCCTGCACCCTACCCCACTGCCGCTTTGCCCACCGCACACCCACACCGGGCTGGGTGCCCCCCTGCTGCCCACCTCCTGCGCAGGCGCCGCCTCCAAGGTGGTCACTGCTGCTGAGCTGGCGGCGGCCGACATTGTGCTCACGTCGTATGATGTACTGCGGCGGGACGTCAACCACTGCCCCGACGAGGCAGAGCAGGCGGGCGCGGGGCGCAGCCTGCGGTGGCGCAAGAAATATGAGGCGAGTGGGGCGGGCGGTTGGGCATATGTGGGTTTGCGAGCAGCTGGTTGTGAGGTGATGGTGGTGGCATGCCACTAGAGGGGTGGTGATGGTGGGTGGTGGTGGGACAGGGCAGGCCATCAGGAGGAGAGGCGTCAGCATCACGCCTGGGCCCTTGACAGCTTGGCACAGCGCAGCCAGCGTGACCTCCGTTCCCGTAACAGACACACACGCACACACACACACACACACTGCGCCGCCGCTCTGCTTCAGGTCATGCCCACGCCGCTCACCCGCCTGCGCTGGTGGCGAGTGTGCCTGGATGAGGCGCAGATGGTGGAGAGCAGCACAGCTAAGGCCGCTGAGATGGCCCTCAAGCTGCACACGGTGCACCGCTGGTGAGCGCATGCGCCGAGCCAGCCCGCCCAGCTAGCTGCAAGCCTGCTGGGGCAGGGCGGACACCGGCGCCGCCCTGCTCCTCATCTCCCACCTCGCCCTCCTGCCTTCTCCCATAAACCCTCTCACGCTCGCTCGCTTGCCTGCCGTCCCACCGTTCTGCCTCCTCACCTGCCAGGTGTGTGACAGGCACCCCTGTGTCTCGGAGCCTGGAGGATATCTATGGGCTGCTCGCCTTCCTCCAGGCCTCGCCCTACAGCAACCGCCACTGGTGGCAGCGCGCCGTGCAGCAGCCGTACGAGGCGGGCAGCCGCGCGGGTGAGGCCTGGGGTGGGTGCATGGGGTGCAGGGAGGTGTGGGGGGTGTGGCTGGCGCCGGGCTGGCGCTGGCGAGTTGGGTAGCATTGAGCGAGCATGGAGGAAATGGCAGGGAGGCCCTGCTGCCGCGGTCCAGCGCCGGTGCCTAGGCAGCAGGGCAAGGCTCATGGCGCACCCTGCTCCGGCCCGGCGGCTGCAGGCCGCGCCCGGCTGCTGTCGCTGCTGCGCCCCGCGCTGGGCGGCCTGCTGTGGCGCTCCTCCAAGGCTGACGTGGCGCACGAGCTGGGGCTGCCGCCACAGGTGGGGCGCAGGCTGGGTAGAGGCGGTGCGAGGGGAGAGGCTGGCCGATGCCCCTGCCGGCTGCTCGCTGCCACCAGCTGGCTGACCCTGCCACCGTGCTCCGAGTCCCTACCAGCCGCATCACTCCTCGTCTCCCGACCCCCCACCTAACACACACTCTCTCCACCGGTCCTGCCTCCCCACACTTTCCCCCTGGGTCTGACCCCTGGGTCCGCCTGCAGCATCACCACCTCAAGAGCCTGCAGATGTCGGCCATCGAGCGCCACTTCTACTCGCGCCAGCACCAGGAGTGCGTGGCCAAGGCGCGGGCGGCGCTCTCCTCGCAGCTGCTGGCCGCAGCCACAGCGGCCGCAGCGGCGCACGACGGCGTCGCAATTTCGGACAGCCGCGAGGCGGGGGCTGGTGCTGCTGCGGCAGCAGAAGCGGGCGCCGCGCCAGCGTCCCCGCCCGCGGTGCGCTTGCCGCCGGCGGCCACGGCGGCCGCCGGGTTTGAGGACCGTGCGCTGACGCGGCGGGAGGAGGCGTCGCTGCTGCACCCGCTGCTGCGCCTGCGCCAGGCGTGCTGCCACCCGCAGGTGAGAGCCTGGCCTGGCCTGGCCTGGCCTAGACTTGCGCAGTGTGTTACAGCTTTCCGCACCCAAGGCGCTCACCTTTGCCACCTGCCAGACCGCTGGCCTGCCGGCCTGCCCGCATGCTGCTGCTACGGTGCTGCCTGCACCCTCGTGGCGGGCCAGCAGGGCAGGCATTCTCCTGGCCAGGCTGACAACGCCTGCGCTCCTTGCCCGCCAAACGCACCGCAGGTTGGCGGCGCGGGCATCCGAGCGGTGGGGCCGGCGGGGCACAACAGGTCTCCCATGACGATGGGCGAGGTGCTGGAGGTGATGCTGGCAAAGGCGAGGGTGGAGGCGGAGGATGCTCAGGTGGGCCTGCTTGGCTGTGTGTTGTGCGTAGGTGCATGTGTGTGCCTCGGGCTGGTGGTTGGTGTGGTGGTGTAAGTGGAGGGGAGGAGGTCGCGGTTGTGCTATGAGTTGCGACGGATCCAGGCTCCGCTGCTCCCACCCGGCTCGCCCTGCCCACCCACGCCGCCCTCACCAACCCTGCCCCGCAGCGCCTGCTGCTGGCCAGCCTGAACGGCCTGGCGGGCCTGCTGCTGCTGCAAGAGCAGCCGGTGGAGGCGGTGAGGGCGTACCGAGAGGCGCTGGCCACAAGTAAGCGGCTGCCTGCCCACCTGCTGGCTTGCCCATCTGGCTTCGTACCCCCCCCCTCTCTCTCTCTCTCGCGTGCGCGCACACACACAAACACACACATGGCTGCTGTGCTCGCACCTGCAGTTGAGCAGAACAAGTCGCTGATCCGTGCCGACAAGCTGCAGCAGCTGCACACCCTCACCAACCTGGCCGCTGTGCTGGGCCCCGAGGGCAGGTGGGCGTGGCCAGCGGGGAAGGGCTGGCCGTGTGTGGCTGCCCCGCGATGCAGGCTGTTGGCGAAGCAGCAGCATCAGGCTGCCCGACCGCTGCCCCAGGCCAACGACTGGCTGCTCTGGTCTGCTTGGTGGAAGGTTGTTGGTTGGGCGCCGGGGCTGGCCCTGGGTCTGCTTTGCAAGAAGTGGGGGAGGCACCCCTCGTGTGGAGGGCCTTGAACACCCTGCCAGCCAGCCTTGCACCTGCAGGAGTGTGGAGGGGGCTGCTCCCACACTGCGGGACGCCTGGCTGGAGACGGAGGCGCAGGAGATCCGGTACGGCAGCAGCTGCCAGGCAGCTGCCAGGCAGTTGAGGTGGCCTATCAAACAGCTGCCCCTCGCTGTTTTGCTGCCTGTCGCTGCTGCCCGGCCGGTATCGGTTGTTAACATTGTGCTGCTGTACTGCTCTATCCTGGACCGCTGTACCGCAGGGAGGAGTACCTGGCAGAGTCGTTGTCCCGCCTGACGGATGCGGCGCAGGAGGTGGAGGAGGTGCAGCGTCACGTGCAGCGCTGCAAGGCCCCGCTGCTGCAGCATGTGTCGGCGGCGGAGGCGGAAGGTGGGAGGCCAGTGGTGCCCTGCTCGCCGCGCCGCCAACGCTGGCGCATCCACTCTGCCCTGGCCGCCCGTCCCTGCCCAAAGCCTCGCGCCCTTGTCACGCACGCCTCACCCACACACCGCCAACACACCGAGCCCTTAAACCCCCTCCTATCGCAGAGCTGTTAGCAGGCTGGTACATGCGGGGGGTGGCGCTGATTGTGGCGCATGGCCGGGACCACCACACCCAGCGTGAGCTCAGGGAACCGCTCCCTTGCTTGTGTGGTACCCACCACCCCGCGCCCACCACTGCACCATTTCCACCGCCGTGACATTCGCCCCATCCCATTTAGTGCCCTATCCCATCACTGACACTCTGCTTCTTTGGAGCCTTTGCCTCATATCATCCACACGTCACCCTCTCTCTGCAGGCGCTGTGGCTGAACGCATTAAGGAGCAGGTGAAGGAGGAGACAATGTACCTCAGATCGGTATCCCAGGTGGGCGGTACAGGCTGGGCGGTACAGGCAGCAGTACAGATGGACGGTGAGGGGTGGGCGCAGTATGGGGCTTTCAAAATTCTCCCATCACCCTCCCCTCGCACCATGCACACATGAAACCGCCTCACCCACCCGCCCGCAGCCGCCGCCCCGCCCCCCCGCAGAATGCCGCCTCCATCGCCTCCCGCTTCCGCGACCTGCACGGCCTGGAGCTGGCTGTGAAGCAGGAGGTGCGGGAGCTGGGCAGGGCGCAGGCGGAGGCCACGCAGGAGCTGCAGCGCCTGCAGGTGAGAGAGAGAGAGAGAAAAGGGGCAAGCAGAAGGGTGGGCTGGGAGGTGGTGGTGCCGGTGCCACCCCAGCGGTGGTATGGTAGTGTGGTTTGTGTGCATGCGCGCGTCGAGAGTGGTCAAGGCGATTGTTTCGTCTTGGCAGCCTGCCCGCTTGCCTGCCAACCCGCATTGATGTTGATTCTGCAGGCCGCATGCCGGGCGCCGCCGCCGGCGCTTGTGGAGCTGGCGGCGACGTGCAGCCGGTGCCGCGCGGAGACGGCGGTGGCGGGGCGTGTGTGCCGCCACTGCAGGCTGGAGGAGCTGTTCTGGAGCTGGGAGGTGGGCCCGCCTGCTGCCAGCCTGCTGCCAGCCTGCTGCCCGCCTGTGTGTGCCTGTGTGTGCCTGTGTGCAGGGCTGGGAGGTGTGCTTGCCCGGCCTGCCTGCTGCCTGTGTGCTGCCTGTGTGCAGGGCTGGGAGGGTGGGGCCTGGGCCTGCCTGCTGTCCGTCCACAACGCCCGGGGCCCCGCGCACCAGCTGCAAACTACAATCTGCGCGGGCCTGTCGCCACCAGCAGCCCAGGCAGTCTTGAGAAGGGGATATTCGGGCGGCCAGCGCAACACGCTCCCCTTGCATGCCCCCCTTGTGCGCGGCCGCCGCGTGCAGGGGCGTGCGTTTGCTCTGTATTCAAAGGCCCGGGAGGGTGGGGGCCGGGTGACGGCGGATGATGCCATCCGCCAAGCGCAGCAGGCGACCCTGTTCAACCGCGTGGGTCGCGGCGGGCTGGGGGAGGCGGCTGCGGAGCAGCTGGGCGGCAGCATTGGCGATGCCGGCGGCGAAGACGAGGAGGGAGGGCACCACCTGCTGCTGGGGGCGGGGCGCAGGGACGATGCGGTTGCCAAGACAGGTGCCGGGGTGCCGCGTGCTGCTGCCTGGGCTGGCGTCGGCCGGCTGCAGCTGCCCGGCGCTGCCCTGCGCTGCTGGCGCTGCGTCGTGCCCTTGTGCCCCACGTTCTCCCGTCTGCCTGCCTACCTGCCTGTCCTGTCCTGCCTGTCCTGCCTTTGCCTGCCCGACTGACCATGCGTGCACACACCTGCCTGCCCTGCCTGCCTCACCTGCAGAGATTGTGCGGCGCCCCGGGGATGCCGAGAATGTGCTGCGCCTTCTGCTGCACCAGCTGAGGCTGGTCAAGGTCCCGCAGGAGGCGGCAGGCAAGCGAGAAGAAGCTGCTGCCGACGCCGCGCCGCTTTGCTGCTCCCGCCATGCCGCTGCTTCCACAGGGGCAAGGGCTGTGCGTCGGTGGTGCCACCTTTCCATTCGTGCTTGTAGAACTGAAGGCTGAGGCTGTTTTCTGTTGTGCCCTGCTTGCTCTGCGCCTGGCACTGCTCTGTACCACCCCGTACCGCAGCGGAGAAAGATCTGGTTATGACCGCGGGCAAGGCGCACTTGGAGCTGATGGAGCAGTACCGCCGCCTGTACCTCAAAGCCCGCGCACTCTCCCTTGCCCAGGTGGGTGGCGTGTGGGTGGGTGGTGCGGGTGCCTGCTCCCCTCCCTCCATGCCCTGCCCACAGCGCCCGTTGCCAACGACCTTCCTTCGTGTGTTTGAAGGATTGGTGCATCGCACCATCCCTTTCTTTCCTTCCCGCAGCGCCAGCGCCTGTATGCAGTTGATGAGCTGGAGCAATGCACGATGCGCATAAAGTGAGCGCGGGCGCTGAGAATCGACGCTGTGATGTGGCTGGCGCTATGCTGCTTGCTGCGCTGCCGCTGCTGCTGCCGCCCCCATCCTCCGACACCTCACCTTGCAAGCCTGCAACTACACCCTGCAACTCCTCCTATGCACATTGTAGCATTCACACCCACACCACCACCGCAACACCCAACCACCTGCAGGCTGCTGAGCGACAATGAGCTGCGGCTGAAGGAGGGGGAGGAGATCTATCGAGTGTATGAACACGAGGTGCCGGTCCGCAGCACGGTGAGCTCCAGCGGTACCCCGCTACAGCACCTCTGTACTGCGCAAACTAGCCGGCTGGTGCGCTGCGCTTGTGCCTGCGCCTGCCATGCCAACATCGGTGCTCACTGGTTTGGCTGCCGCTATGCTCACTGATTGTATGTACTGCTGCTTTCCTCAATGCTCGTGGCTGCCGCAGGAGCTGTCCAATGACAAGGCCTCTGCTGAGCTGGAGCTGCATCGCAAGCTGGGCACGCTTCGCTACCTGACAGGCATCAAGGCTCGGGAGGCAGCCAGGGCCGCTGCCGCTGCTGCTGCCGAGGCTCAGGTAGCTGCGGCGGCAGAGGAGGATGCGGCAGCAGGGCCGATGGGGGATGGTGTGGAGGAGGCAGGCACAGGGGCGGCAGGCAAACACTCTGTGGCGCCTGCAGCTGGGGCTGGCAGGGGAGAGCCAGGCGTGGACGCAGGTTTGCCCTGCCAGCCAGCAGCTTCAGAGGCGGGCACGACAGCGGCGGCGCGCGGCTTGGTGGCGGCGGCAGCTGGCGAGGAGGATCGCGAGGATATCTGCCCCATCTGCCACGACCGCCTGGGGCAGGAGATGGTGAGGCGGCGGGCTGCTAGTACCATGCCAACCGAATCAGCCAAATTCCCTGCCCTCCAGATTTCGCCAGCCCTCTGGCCGCGCCATGACACGGCCCCTCTGACCCATCACACCCACACATGCACCACAACAATCCCTTCCCACTCTTCCCGCCCCGTCCACAGGTCATGCTGGCATGTGCACACCGCCTGTGCTGCCGGTGCAGCGTGGCGCTTCAGGAGCGGCTGCCGGCGGGCCAGCCCAAGGTGTGTGCGGTGTGTGTGGTGTGGGGTTGGGGATGGGGGGCAGGCCACGAACTGTGAGCAGGCACCTCCGGCGTAGCGCCACTTCCTTCTGTTGAACCTGTCCAGCCTGCCTGCTTGGCCTGCCCGCTGAGCTCCCTAGCTGAGCCAGCTTGCCCTGGCTGTCCTGCTGCAGGCCAGCCGCCGCATCGAGTGCCCCGTGTGCCGCACCCGTGTGCCGGTCAGCGATCTTGTGTACATCGATGCACGGCTGGCATCCCCTGGGGGCAAGGTGCGGCGCAGGAGCGGAAGGGGCTGCTGCAGGGCCTGTGGCTGCTGCAGGGGCAGTATGGGGCACCGGCAGGGCATGCGACTGGCTAGAGCATGCAACTGGCTGATGGGGGGCCGCCTGCTCACCGCCTGTGCTACTTGCGAGCTACAGCGGGCGAGAGGTGAGGAGGCGGAGGGCGAGGGCGACATAGAAGTGAAGGGATCGTATGGAACGAAGGTGAGCAAGGCTGCTGCCCAGCTGCTGGCTGTCAAGCTGCTTCTCTACTCTCTGTCGATCTGCCAGCCGGGGACACCTGGAAAGGGGTGGTGGCCCCTGCCATGTGTCTGCTGGGTGTGGTGGGGGGTTACAGTGTGGGGTGTTTGAGCACCGAACAAGTTTGCAGCAGGGCAAGGCAGATTGGGGCATTTCAATGGCCACCTTCTGCTGGAAGGGCATGCAACGGGAAAGTAGAGGGGAGGTCTCATGAAGAATTGGAGCACTTAAAAGAAACAAGCAGGGCGTTTGTTCTGCCCTTAAGAAAAATGCCTGGCGTGCACAGGCGAGCCATGAACTCGCTGCCTGGCAGTCCTGCTGCTGAAAAAGAGAGTTCATCGATGGTTTGGTTGTTTCATTTGTTGGGGTCTGCGGCAATGTTGATAGAAGCCCGCTCCGCAGGCTTCAGCGTCACTTGCGCTGCCCTCAGCGCCACCTCAGTCCTCCATATCGTCTGCCTCGCTGTCGTAGTCATCATCCGCGGCAGCGCTCAGCCGCAGCTTCTTGAAGCTCTTGCGGCGCTACGACAAGCAGGGAAGGGGAAAAGGCCAGGGAGGGGCGGTGTCAGCAGTTGGCCGGCAAGCGTGCTCGGCCTGCTGAGCCCTTCAGCAAGCAACCAGTTGCCTGCCTGCCTGCCTGCCGTCTGCTGAGGCCGGTCTCACCTCTGCATCTGCTGCGCGTGCCGCCGCCGCCGCCTCGTCAGGCTGCACGTCACCAAAGGGGCAGAACAACTAAGCCTTCTAAAGACAGAAAGCGACAAGCAATCTCCAGACCGAAACCACGATCCCGCCCACCAGCTGCCAGACTGGCTGCCCCTAGCCACGCATCAACCGCATGCCACGCTGTGCGGCAGCAGCCCCGCCCACCTGCACCGCGAAGGTGAGGCCTCCCGCGCCCGAGGCGGGTGCATCCACCACCACCTTGGAGTCGTCTGGAAGCTCCCCCGAGATGATCATGCGGGAGAGAGGGGTGATGATGGAGTGCTCCAGCCAGCGGCGCAGCGGGCGAGCACCGTACATGTGGTCGTACGACTGTGCCACCGCATAGTCGAGGGCGGCATCTGCGGGGAGGGGAGAGGGCGAGGCGGGGCAGGGGAGGTGAGGGAAGCAAGGGAGCAGAGGATGGCGCACGGGAGGGAAGGAGGCTGCCTGGAAGCTGCTCCCGACGAAGCAAACACATGCCTCGCCGGCAGCCGGCACCCAAGCCAGGTGCTGGCCGGCGGCTGTTTGTTGTTCCATTACTTATCAATCTAGTTTCCAAATCGTCGTTCTTATTACGCCCACCTGTGAGCTGCATGGTGATGGCTCGGTCGCGCAGCCTGGTGTTGAGCTCGGCGGCCTGCAGGCGCGCCACCTGGCGCAGCTGCGCCGGCGACAGCGGCTCGAACTGCACCACCTCGTCGATCCGGTTGAGGAACTCGGGGCGGAAGTGGCGGCGCACCGCCTCCATGACCGCCGCCTTGGCCTGCGGGCTGTTGCCCTGCTCCAGCAGGATGGTGGCGCCCAGGTTGGAGGTCATGATGATGAGGGTGTTGGAGAAGGACACGGTGCGGCCCTTGGAGTCGGTCAGCCTGCGAAGGAGGGACGGTCAGGGAGGGAGGGAATTGTGCGGGGAGGCAAGGACGGAAGAGGGGAGGGGCCGGGGTGGGAGAGAGGAGGGGCGTGAAGGGCAGAGACGCGCGGCGGGCGGGCCAGCGGGAGGGCCGAGAAATGCAGTGCCCCACGCCCGCAGCGCCCCGCGCGCACCTGCCGTCGTCCAGGACTCCCAGCAGCAGGTTCATCACGTCTGCGTGCGCCTTCTCCACCTCGTCAAACAGAACCACAGAATAGGGGCGCCGCCGCACCGCCTCGGTCAGCTGGCCGCCCTCCTCGTGGCCGATGTAGCCGGGGGGTGCGCCGATCAGGCGGCTTACGGTGTGCTTCTCCATGTACTCGCTCATGTCGATCCTGCATGGGATCGCCAGCCAGCGGGGAGGAAAGCGTCGGCCCACGACAGCTCCGTCGCGCTGCCAAGCGGGCAGGCAGGCTGGGCAGGGCCGCGGGCGGCGGGGGCGTGTCTGCCCCCCGCCCGCGCCTCCCCGGCCCGGCCCCAGCAAAGCGCCTCCCCAGCCCACACGCCGCCGCCACCGCAAGCTCCCAGCCGCCCACCTGATCATCATCTTCTCGCTGTCGAACAGCATGGCAGCCAGCGCCTTGGCCAGCTCCGTCTTGCCCACGCCCGTGGGCCCCAGGAACAGGAAGCTGCTGCCGCGGTTGCGCGCGCCCAGGCCCGCCCGGCTGCGCAGCACGGCGTCCGCCACCGCCTTGACCGCTGCATGGGCAGGAGGGGCAGGGGAGGGAGGGTGAGGCAAGGGGCCCAGGGAGGGGGTTGCAACGGAAGGGCAGCAGAAGCTGCCGGCTGAGCCTTCCGCTTCCCTGCCCGGACGACCAGGCATGCACGGGATACGCACACAGGCCAGCAAGGAACGCGGGCAGGCACACGCTGCTGCCGCCGCCGTCGCCGCTGCGCCCGCTGCGGCTGCGGCTGCGGGTCGGCGCCGCGGCGCACCTGCGTCCTGCCCCACCACCCTCTCGTGCAGGTAGCCCTCCAGGTTCTGCAGCCGCTCGCGGTCGCTGGCCTGCAGCTTGGTCACGGGGATGCCGGTCCACTTGCTGACCACCGTGGCAATCTCCCCGGGCCCCACTGTGTCGCTGAGCATGCGGTCGGCCTTGCGCGCCTCCGCCTGCTTGCGCCTCAGTAGGTCCTCCACCTCTGCCAGCGCGCCTGCACCGCACAGGAGAGGGAGCACGGCGGGGGACGCGGTCGTTGCTCAGTAAGAGGAGGGAGCATGGGCAGGGCAGGGGCAGGGCTGGACAGGGCCGGAGCAAGCCCTGGAGGCTCCTCGCGGCGCGAGCATGTCGCCGAGCAGGCTGCCAGGCTGCCGCGCCGTTGCGCGGCCTGCGCCGCCGCGCGGCCTGCGCCGCCGCCCCCGGGCTCACCATACTTGATGTCTGCCACCATGGCCAGGTCCATGCAGTTCTCGGCCTGCTCCAGCCGGATCTGCAGCTCCTCCTTCTTCTTGGCCAGCTTCTTGATCTCATCCAGGGCCGCCTTCTCCGCGCGGTACCGCATCTGCAGCGGCTTCAGCTGGTCACCCAGCTCCCCAAGCTCCCGCTGCACCTCCGCCAGCCGCTCCCTGGACTGCTTGTCCTTCTCCTTCTCCAGAGCCTTCTCCTCCACCTGCACGCGCGGCGGCAGCACGCGCCGGCAGCGGCAGTGGCATCGTCAGCAGCAGCAGCCAGGGCAGCGTCGAGGGGCAGGCGCAGCCGGGGCATGCCGCATGCAAGGGCTGGCCATGCCGCCAGCATGCCTGCCGCGCATGTCACTGCCCGGGCCCACCTGCAGCCTGATGAGCTGGCGCTCCAGCACATCGATTGCCTCAGGCTTGCTCTCCAGCTGGACCTGCAGAGAAGCACGCCACACACGGTGAACACGTGCGGAGGTGCGCGCGGCATGCACTCACCACACGCAGCCGCTGATCACGCGCTGTGGGCGCCTGCGTGCTGCGCACGGTGCACCCGGCGCCAGCACGGGCGCGTTCTGCGGCGGCGGCGCCCCAACACCGCACCCCGTACACCTGGCTGGCCGCCCCCGGGTTCCTGGCCCCCATGCGCTCGAGCTCAGCCTGGGACCTACCTGGAGGTTGGAGCAGGCCTCATCGACAAGGTCTATTGCCTTGTCTGGCAGGAAGCGGGAAGTGATATAGCGGTCTGCCAGCTCAGCCGCCACCACCAGCGCACGGTCCGAGATCTGCGGGCAGGGGCCAGGCAGGGCGCGGGAGCAGCAGGGCGGGGCGAGCGAGGCAAGCGGAGGGGCGGGGCCGGAGGGAAGCGCAGCGGGGGCAGGCACACGGAAGCAGCCCGGGCCGGCTGCCGCTGCGGGGCCAGCGGGGCACGCAGGGCAGGGGAGGCAGGTGCGGGCGCGTTTCTGCGGCGCCGCGCCTCACCTGCACGCCGTGGTGGCTGGCGTAGCGCTCCTTGAGGCCGCGCAGTATCTGCACGGTGTCGGGCACGCTGGGCTCGCCCACCAGGACCTGCTGGAAGCGGCGCTCGAAGGCCGCGTCCCGCTCCACGTGCTCGCGGTACTCTGCCAGCGTGGTGGCGCCCACCAGGCGCAGCTCCCCGCGCGCCAGCATGGGCTTCAGAAGGTTGGCCGCATCCATGGCGCCCTCCGTCTTACCCGCGCCCAGCACCAGGTGGATCTCATCGATGAAGAGGATGACCTGGCCGGGGGTTGGAAAGGGTGGAAAGCAGGGAGCGGGGTGGAAAGTCGTGGAAAATCAGCAGCTTCTGACCGCCGGTTGACCAGCGCGGGTGCGCAGCCTGGGAGGCCGGCGGTCAAAACCAGGCACCCCGCCGCGTGGCCGTGTGCGTGCCTCCCCGCGCTCAGCGCGGCCCTGCCAACCAGCTGCCCCCGGGCCCCCATCCAGTCCTTCCCGGTCCTGCACACGGCTTTGCACGCGGCCCGGCATGGAGAATGTAGACAGAACACTGCCCTCCCTCACCTGGCCCTTGGCATCCGCCACCTCCTTGAGCACCGCCTTGATGCGCTCCTCAAACTCGCCGCGGTACTTGGCGCCCGCCACCAGGCTGCCCATGTCGAGCGAGATGATCCGCACGCCCTGCGGGCAGGCAGGGAAGAAGGAAGGAAAAAAGAAAGTAAGAAAAAAACAGAAGAAAGAGGTCGGCTGCTTGTGTGTGGGCGCCTCGACACGCCCCGCCAGGCCAGCTGGCTAGCCAGAGGCGCGGCCTGGCTGTCGGCCTGGCCACGGCTGCGGGCTGCGCCCGGTCGAACCAGCGCCGGCGGCGGCGCTGCAAGCCGCGCTGCGACAGGGGTGCAAGCGACGCTGCGGCAGCGGCTGGCTCACGTTGAGCGTGGCTGGCACGTCGCCCTTGACCACTCGCTGCGCCAGGCCCTCGACAATCGCCGTCTTGCCGACGCCGGGCTCGCCGATCAGCACCGGGTTGTTCTTGGTGCGGCGGCACAGCACGCGCACCACGCGCCTGCGGGGACCAGAGGGGACGGGAGCGGTTTGACTGGCAGGGCACGAGTGGGAGCACTGGGAAGGCAGGCGGCGGCCGGGCTGCTGCCCCCGGGGCCGGCCGGGGCAGGCGCCTGAGGGCAGCGTCAGGCCCGGCAGAGCGGCCGCTGCTCTCTCCTTCTCGACTGCGCAGCGCAGCGCAGCGCAGCGCGCACCTGATCTCCTCGTCCCGCCCAATCACCGGGTCCAGCTCAGCGGCCTTGGCCGTTAGGTCGATTCCATACTTGGTGAGAGCCTCAAACTGGGTGTCCGCCGTCGCGGAGTCGACGTGCGCGGCGCCCCGCCCCTCCTCCACCGCCGCCGCCAGCTGGGCCTTGTTCAGCCCCGCCTCGCCCAGCGCCGCCGCCACCTCCCGAGCATCCAGGATCGCCAGGAACAGCACGTCGGCGCCTGCGGGGGAGGGGGAGAAGGGGTGGGGGCGGCTGGGGTTGATGGTGAGAGAGAGGCAAGCTGGGTGGGCCGTGATCGGGGCGCCGCAGCGGCGCCCCATGCTGCCAGGCACTAGGCAGAGCCACGGCAGCTGCCCCGCACCCCCAGCCTACCCAGGAATGAGTCGCCTTTCTTCTTCTGCAGCTTGCCCGCCGCCTGCAGCGCCTTCTTCAGGTCTGCGCTGATGTAGACGTCGCCGCCGTCGTCGCCGCTGATGGCGGGCAGGCGCACCAGCTGCTTGCGCAGCACGCGCAGCACGCTGTTGAGCGCCTCGGCGGCGGCGCCGCCGCCGGCCTGCTTGCCCAGCGCCGCCTTGGCCACGCCCTCTGGGTCCTCAAACATGACCACCGCCACGTGGAGGGGCGTGATCTGCTGGTGGCTGCTCTCCTGCGCTAGCTCCTGGGCTGCATTCAGGATCTCGGTCACCTTCTGGGTGAACTTGCTGGGGTCCATTCTACACCTCCTGCCTCGCTAAGCGACTGCCAAACACACGGGAGGCGACGCCGTCTCTGCCAAAGTGCGCTTTTGTTCCTGCATGGGCGAGGGGACAAAACCACAGCCTGTGTCCACAGGAGGGCGCTGGCGCAGTGTATTGGGCTGCCATGCAAGCCAGATTTGGGATGCAGGGGGGGAGAGATGGCGAGTGGTGCCGCCGCCGGCGCTACCATCTCCCCGCCCTCCAGCCCCCGTCTCGGCAGGCGCGCCGACTGCTGCATTTGGCTGCCTCTCTGCCTGGCGCCTCAGCAACAGGAGGCGAGCGCCAGGAATGCCTGGTGTAGGGTTCGCTCACCGGCTGGCACTGTGCGCCTTCACAGAAGGTCGCTGGGTGAAGCAGCACGTTATGTTGTTTGATTCGCCTCGAAATAGTGTGTGAGAAGCGCAGGGGTCGCTCAAATACTCCCGGGAGCTCACCAGGCCTACAGAGGTCTAGAAACCCCTAGCCACTTCTGGCGCTTACTGGACGCGAGCTGCCTATTCTCGAATGCATTGCATGTGCACGTGCAGCGCCGCGCGGCCCGCTTCCATTCTCCGTCTGCTGTGCCCTGCTGGCCGCCCCGTCACCGCCGCCGCTCCTTCTGGCCTGCCGCTCCCCGCATCCGTGCTTGCAGCTGGAAGCGGTGGTGGCGCGCCTGCTGTGGCTCACCCGCCAGGACCCCACCAACCGCGTACTTGTCTTCTCCACCTGGAAAGATGTGTTGGATGTTGTGTCGTGAGTGTCCGCCTGCTCAGCGTGGAGAGCACAGCTAGTCTCCCACGCCCTGCCTGCTGTCCGATGCATGTTTCGATTGTGGTGCGCTGCTCACAGAGGCCTGGCTGCAATGGATGCATTTGCCTGACACCTTCCCCTGCTCGCGGTGTTCCCCACCCGCCACCCTCCTGACCCTCCCATGCCGTGCAGCCACGCGCTGGGCGCCAACGGCCTGCCCCACCTCTATCCCAAGTCGGGCAAGAAGTTTGAGGCCGCCGTAGCCGACTTCCGCAGCGGGCACCAGGCGGCCATGGCCGCAGCCGCAGAGCCCGGGTGCGGCCCAGTCTTGCTGCCCTCTCCGCCAGGCAGCCTGGTGTTGGGCCCGCGCAGCACTGGCACGGCTGCCCTCTCCGCCAGGCAGCCTGGTGTTGGCCGCGCGCAGCACTGACACGGCTGCCCTCTCCGCCAGGCAGCCTGGTGTTGGCCGCGCGCAGCACTGACACGGCTGCCTGTCGAGGGCTCTGGCAGCCTGTGTAGCGGAGCTCTGCCTCACCCCAGCGCGCCGCAGGAGCAGCCTGGCCTGGCTGGCGGGTGCCTGTTGCTGCCCCAGCCAATGCTTCATCGGCTGACGGCCCCTCTGCCTGCTTGCCTCCCTGCCCTCTCCCCACGCGGCCGCTGCTTGCAGGCCCAGCAAGCGCCCCGCGCGAGCGCCCCAGCAGCGCCAGCCGCAGGTGCTGCTGCTGCTGGTGAAGCAGGGCGCCAATGGGCTGAACCTCACTGAGGCTCAGCACGTGGTGCTGGTGGAGCCTCAGCTGGATCCCGCGGTGGAGGCGCAGGCGGTGGGCAGGGTGGACCGCATCGGCCAGCTGCGCGCCACGCACGTGCACAGGTGCGTGGGCGTGCGAGCGGCGGGAGAAGTGGAGCGGGCACACTAGCATGCATGCATGCCGTGCAGCTGCTGCCTCGGCCTGGCATGCGTGCAGCCTCGCGGGCAGACAGGTCTGGCGCCTTATCCAGCGGCTGATGCTGCCTCGCCCTGGACTTCCCACATTTCTGCACACATGCGAGGCACTGCCCTGCTGCAGGTTTGTGGTGGAGAAGACGGTGGAGGAGAATGTGCACCGGCTGTGCCAGCGTCGCGCAGCAGCCATGGACCTCTCGGCGGCCTCGGGTGCGCCCGGCGCCGCGGATCCCGGGACAGATGCCGGGTGCTGTCCGGTGTTGCCTGCTTGCGGTGCTGCTTGTGTCACCGCCACAGTGAGCGCCCGCTTGGCTGGCTGCCGCCTGGCTGCCTGCTATGATTGTGCCTGAGCGCGTGCTGGTGCCGGCTGTGGCGTGCAGTGAAGCATGCCAGCGGGGGCAAGGAGCATGGCGCGCTGACTGTGCGTGACGTGGCACAGCTGCTGCGCCAGCCCGAGCAGGAGGAAACTGAGGAGGTTGAGGACGGAGGAGGCCAGGAGAGAGGCAGCGGGGAGGCTGGTGGCGCGCTGGTCAGCCCCGGGCAGCGTGCGGCGGCGGCGGCGGCGGCACGCTCGGCCGCTGCTGCCGCACCTGCTGCCGCCTGAGTACCCACGCTGCTTATGCCCTGATCCTGCTGGCTGGACCACAGTAAACAAGGGCAGGGTGTAACATCAGGTATGACACTGAGGTGACAAAACAAACAGTGGAAGAAAACGCGTAAGCTAGAAATCAAATTCTGCTCTGCTCTATCGATCCCATCTACGCGAGCTCAGTGCAGGGCTCGCACTATCGCTGATGCTGCGCGCCTGCTATGCCAGCTGGATGCACAGCAAGATGACAGCCGACTGGGGCACAGTGCCAGCGTGACCTGCTTGGAGGCAGCAGGTGCCGCAGCAGCGGCTGTGCATGCCGTCGCGTCACACTGCCTGGGGCGGACGAGCGCGTCGCTGTCCTCGTCGCCCCCCCCCTGGCCTCCTCTGTCCTAGAGCTCCTCAGCCTGCTAGGGCTGCTCGCACCCAACTGGCTACCTAACCGACGAAGACAGTCACCAGCGCCAGCCCAGCAGCCGCTGCACGTCCGTCTGATGCTGCTCAAGATGCCACTTGAAGAGGATAGGGCACGCTGCACACCATGTGGCAGTTCAGATCTGATTGAAACGAGGTGTCTCAGTGCAACCTGCCTCATTGCGTCTCTGCCTCCAGCTGCGATGCAGCTTCAGCGACACCAGCGCACCGCCCAACTGGATCCTCCCTGACACCTGCCATCTGCGCACCTAGGCCCGCGAGCCACATGAAGCGGTACCGCATGATGCGCTTGCCACGGGGACGCCGGCGAAAGGGAGACACGGCGCCACCAATGGGCACCTGCAGCCTGCCTGCGTGGGCGGGGGGTGGGTGCACATTGGAGCGGTGTGTGACAGGGACGGGGGTGGTTGCGTGCGAGGGTTGTGGGCGCAAGCATGAAGCTGCGTGGTTGGCTGGCCCGCCACATGCCCTGCCCCTGCCCCGGTAGCGGCAGATGCGCATCTGCACCGACAAGGATGCACCCATCCCAGGTCGGGGCTGGCCCTTCCCTTGCCTCACCCAGCAGCGTCACCAGGTAACTGTGGGCTCGCCACTCCAGGAAGATGGCTGCCAGGCCAGGGTAAAAACTGGTGGGCAGCAGCACAATGCCCTCCACTGCGCCCAGCGCCGAGTACCCCAGCACATGCACGCCGTGGCAAGCTGACCTGTAGGCCCACAGCTGCCCCACGCGCATGCAGGCGCCGAACGCAGCCGCGGCGAGGCTGACTTGCAGCGCAAGCTTATCGGGCCAGCTCCAGGAGCAGATGCAGGCAGTGGCTGCAGAGCAGGCATCAGACGGGACAGGGGTAAGCAAGAAGGGATGCATGCGCACACAACCTCACAACGCTGCCGACAGGCACAATGTGCATCCAGTGGTAAAGCCATCCCTGTGCAGTGCGACTCGTGTGCCCAGGCTAGCCGCTGCAGACTTGCCTGCCAGGATCGGGGGCGCCATATGGAACATTAGGTTGGCAGCGGCAAATCGCACTGCCGAGCCCGCGGCAAGCGCCGTGGCAGCGATGTACAGGGAGATCAACCCCTGAAGTGCCTGCTGCCGCATGGGGGAAGCGGCTGGCATGGCACTCGTGGCCTAGAATGACGGCAGGCAATACAGGCTGACGGCAGAGACACCACCAAGCCACGTCGGAGGACCCCGGATGGCGCCCCCAGCGGTGGCTGCCGCAGGCTGCGGTGCAGGGGCTGGTGCCACAGCATCCGCCTGGTTACCGGTGGGCAGGAACAGCATGGTCGCCGTTGCGGGCACCATGATGAAGCCCACCATGCCAACCCACAGCAGGTGGCGCCAATTCTGCGCCCAGGCCTGGCCCGTGCGCTGCATCCACATGGGAAGTGCCGCCGCTGCAGCCTGCGCTGGGCTGCCACCCGCTCCTGTATGGCCTGCAGGGCTCAAATTTGGGGATGCCACGTCAAGAAATTCATCACAAAGGGCCCAGCTCAGACAAGGCGGCCAGGGCGGCGGTCAAAGTGGGCGGCCCGCGAGGGAGCAGGCAACAAGCTTGCCATCGACCGCTCGTGTGGCTCACAGCATCTTTACCTGGCAACAAGGGGGCGGTTTCCTCGGCATTGGGCTCCACACTTCCGCGCATGATGACCTGCTTTCACGGAGGTTCTTCTACTGCATCACAGGGTCGCGCGCATGGCTGCCTGGTGAGTAACGCAGTTCATGGGACAGGATAGCGCTGTCCCGGGTGTGGAGGGTGGAGATCGGAGGCGGGAGGAGGTTCCCGGCTCATCCTCCCTGAAACAGCTCAACGGCTGTGCGCCAGGCGCCCACCAGGCGCTGACGCGAGTGTAAGCTGTCGCCCTGGAGCCCTCACCAAGCGCAGAGGCGGCGGGGTGAGGCGCGGTTGATGGCGCTGCTCCGAGTTGCCCAAGTACGCCCAAGGCCCTGGCTAGCTGGATTCAATTAGCCACGGGTGGCCGGCGCTGTGTAGGAGCCCGCTGCCCGCAGGAAAGAATCGCCTATGCGCTCCGCCGCCGCCTTTTCCCGCGGTTACCCGCGCCTGCCCCAGCTGCCCGGGGGCCCTTTGGGCACATGGCTTCAGGTTATGCACAGGAGGCTGGAGCTTTTCTGGCTGGGGTGCAGCCAAGTGCGGTGCTGGTGGTGGCTGAAAGGCACCTGCCACTGCAGTCGTGGCGTACGTGGATGTCAGTGCGGCAGAAAGCAGCATGGGAGCCGGGTGCGCCTCCCACCTGCCCACATGCCTTCCCGCCTTCAGTCGCTTGTGCATGCCCACCGCATCGTGCGTGTGCATCTTCTGTTCTCCTTGCACATGCTTCCATAAAAGCTGCGGCAGTCGGTGAAGCTGCGGAATACCAGCACCTCACTTGTTGGCGGCCCAACTCAGGCACGGGCATGACAGAGCACCACCGGCGGCAGCGTCACTGGGCGCCTAAGAACACTGGTTCCAAGGGTCCAGAGGGCAGCAGTGCCTGCGCAAGCGGCCTGGGGCGATAGGCGCAGCAACAAAGTCAATGCGCTGCCAGTGTTGTCTTAACACAATGGGTGCCATGTTAACAGTCTACACAAGGTGGGAGTCTGCCCTTCACAACTCTGCCAGGGCGCTGGCGCCGCCGCTGAGTCACTTGCTGCACAGCAAGGAATGCTCTCCCAGCATCGTCTTACCAGCTGCTGCTCTGCTTATCTTCCATTCCTTGACTGCACACCTCTTGAATGGAGCTCCTGCGCCAGGTTCTTGGCGTGCTGGGTGTGACGCAGCCGGCCGTCACGCCACGAGAACGAGCGATGCGGGCGCGCGCAGCGCTGAATGAAGAGCTCAACAAACCAGCGGGGCAGCGGGATGAGGCGCGGCTGAAGTCCCTTCGCTGGAGGACTTTAGGCTTCGCGCTGCCTACTGCGAGGTGAGTGATAAGGGCGCTGGAAGAGGGACGTCGCAGCACCATGAGGTGACGGCCCTCCATCAGGGTGCCGCCTCTCTCGCCGCCCACTGCCGCCGTCGTGCAGTACGTGGCGAACAGTCTAGAGTGCCGTGCCCTTGAGATTCTGGACAGTGGATGGGAGCCCTGCTGCTTGGGCTGTGGGCCTGCGCGCCAGCGTGCGTCTGCATCGTGCCGAGCAGTGGCGGGCTTCTTTCGAATGAAAGCGGTGGCTTTAAGGGAAAGCCTGTGTGCTCTGGAGGAGGGGCGCCAAAAGCGGCCTATCCCGCTGCCACTCTTTAAGCTGGACCTGCCTGGCCTTCTGCATCTGCCACAGACAACAGACCGCTGCTCTGGCTGCAACGCGTTGCTAGAATGGGTGCGTGGTGCTGAGGGAACATTTGCGGAACAAGGAGGTCTTGTCTGCCTTCTGTGCCGTTACACCTGCTGGTCTACTCACCCCCACTCTCTGCCTGCGCTTGTTGTGTGGCCTGTGCAGGCACACGGGAATGAGCTTGTTGCATTGGATGGAGATGCACAGTTCCGGCAACAGGCTTGCCGACCCCAAGACACCCATGGGTATGCAGCGCCAGCAGCGGCGTCACTCATGGGGTGCCCTTAGCAGCGCAGCAGCACACCATGCAATGAGATCCCTGTGACATGTGCCGCTGCAATCCGACTGGGATTTCAGGGCGCCATCAGCTGGCAAGAGGAGCCACATGAGACAACAGGAGGGCAAGGGGAGCACGCAGGATCAGCTTCCAAAACTTGGCAGTGACCGCAGACTGGCGGACTGCTTCGGCACAACACGTCATCAGGGCACGGAGGAACAGCAGCTGACAGGCTGGCACTCCGCGGGCTTGGAAGCTCAAACGATGGGGGCACAGATGCCTGTCTCACGGTCTCACGCTCGCGTCAACTCGCCGTCTGCCGGCCCAACTCCAAGGTGCCATGCACACAGGGCGCGCCGCAGCCTCTCAGCCACTGCTCACTGCGCTGCTCACTGCGTCTGGATGTTGAGGGATATGTCGAGCGCCGTGACGCTGTGGGTCAGCGCACCGCATGAGATGAAGCGCACCCCGGTCTCTGCAATCACCCTGCAGTCACGAGGGAAGGGCAGCCAGCACACACACATCATCAATCAGCACAGCTCTGAGCGGGGCTCAGCAGGAACATGCCTTGCCTTACGCCACACACCCCCAATGCGCCCACCTGACTGTGTCCAGCGTGACATTCCCAGAGGCCTCTGTCTCCACCTGCCGATCCCCAATCAATTCCACTGCCTCCCGCAGCGTGCTCACATCCAGCCCCGCTGCAGGTGACATCAAGGGGCACCAAGGTCGGTGCAAGCAGCGAAGTGCTGCTGACTTGACACAGCATGCACCTGGGACTCTGTCCACGCATCATTCTCCTGCTTGCCCCCGCTCCACACACACACACACACACACACGCACGGAGGTGCAGGCAACCATCCCCACCCACCCACCTGGCACCCCCACGCTCCTTTTGGTCATGTTATCCAGCATGATCCTCGTGATCATGCTGCCGCTGCCGCTGCCGCTGCTGCAGCTCGCTGCGCCGCCACCGCCGCCGCCCGCTGCATCCAGAATGGCCAGCACCTCCCGCACCTCGTCCAGCGTGCGCGTCTCCACTTCCAGCGGCCGCCGGATGCCCCGGGCCCGCATGAACTCCTGCGCCCAGGAAGCAGGCAGGGTTGCAGGGACGGAGCACGGAAGACCGGCAGTGCGAAGGGACAACCCTGAGGCACAAGATCCCATGCGTGCTATGCATCCCACAGCTGCCCATCCCAATGCAGCCACCAACAAATGCCTCCAGAGCGCCGAAACCCAACGAGCCCCACCTCTGCGCCCCTGACCGCTGCTTCGATGCCGCCAGCCGCAGCAATGTGGTTGTCCTTGATCATCACCATGTCGTACAGGCCTGCAGGTACAGCAGGCGGGAACAGCGGTACGGGATGCAGTACAATGGTGCAGCAATGCAGCACCAGCGAGGGTAGCGGGCAGAGTGTGAGGGGCCCCGTCTGGAGGGCCTGCTCCAGTCGCAAGGCTTGCCAGCACAGGGTGGCAAGGGTGGGGGACCCGCATGGGACCTGTGGTTGAACAGCATAGGGCCCTTCCCACCCCAGCACCGCCACCCACCAATGCGGTGATTCATGCCGCTGCCGATTGAAACTGCCCACTTGTCAAGCAGCCGCAGGCCCGGCACCGTCTTGCGGGTGTCCAGCACGGAGGCTGCAGTGCCCTGCTGGGCAGAAGCGGCGCACGACGCGATTGGGTGGCGTGGCAGCGAGCAGGCTTCCGGCGCGGGGCTGTTGGATGGCAAGGCGTGAGCTGCTGCCAGCACAGCGCGCTGCACCAGCGGCGGCCGGAGCACGACCAGCAGCTGCAGGCAGAGCCTCGCAGAAGCACAGCCGGTGTTGCCTGTTCCAGTGCAGTTGGGCGGGCGGCAAACCACACCAGGCACAAGCAAGCACCTGCACTGCATCAACCATCTGGCGGGTCATCGTGGCGATACCGCTCATGCGCTGAAGAAAGTTGAGTGCCACACGCTCAGCCACAAGAATCGACCTGCGCAAGGACAACAAAAGGAAGGCACTGATACGTTGGCACCCTCAGTGTTCCACCTGCCGCCCGGCTCCACCGGGCGCCCAGCTCCTGCCAGCAAACCGCTGTTGGCGGCAGCCGCTGGCATGCAGCGCCCCGGCACCGGCTCCCAGCAGCGGGCAGCAGCAGCGCCCCACCTGGCGCTGCCGCAAGCTTCGGCAATGGTATCCCCCTGCTGCACCAGCTCCCCATCCTTGCGCAGCCATGTGAGGTGCACCGCAGGGTCTACCCGGGCAAACACAGCATGCGCCACCCAGGACCCTGCCAGCACGCCTGCGGCCTTGGCCAGGAAGGTAGCGCTGGCCTGGGTGCCCTCAGGCACACTGCAGGCAGGAGGGAGCCAGGAGCGAGGCCGGGAGGCGGCGAGGCTGGTCTGTGTGTACCCGCGGCGGCAGCAGGGAGCAGCGGCAGCGGGGAGCACCAGTAGCAGCAGAGCATCCATGGTGAGCGTGCTCGTCATGCAGCAGGCACCGCAGAGAAGCAGCTACATTGGCAGCGGGGGGCCAAAATCTGCGAGCAGGATGGCGGGCGCTGGCACCGCCCAGCAGCACCGGCTTGGCTCACGTAGAAAGGGTGGAGATGTCTCCAAAGTCACCAGCATCTTCTGCCAGCGCCGCATCTATCACAGCATACACATCATACGTGGGGTGCTCCGGCGGGGCCACTGTTGCGCAGGTGGCGGCCATGGCCTGCCTGCACTGGCGGCAGAGGCGGGAGCAGGCGGCGGCCGGCGGGCGAGTCAAGTTGCGGCAGGGGACCCAGTCTGACTTGCACATTGCGATCCTCGACCCAATGTCGATGCATGGATGCGCATCCACAGCCGGGCACACACCAGTCGCTCCGCCACTGCATCCTGCATCCTTGCTGGGACGCCCGGACAGGCTCGTGGGCCGTTGGAAGCATCATGGGAGTGATTGATGCAAATTGAGAGTGCCGATTGGGCTTGTTAGCTCGAAATATGGCCGAAAATAATGTGAAGAAAGCGGCCAGCTCTGCAGACTAAAAAAACGGCCCTCCGACGTGCTGAGCTTACAGATCGACCCTGCTGACCAGCCTTTGGGGCCCTGGGGCACCAACAGCGTTGCCTGCCCACAGTGAGCGGGCCATCACCCCGCCTGGCGTCTTTGGACTGGCGCCTCCTGCTTGCACAGCTGCAAAGGACTCGTGGCAGCGTGGCAGAGCGTGCATCCCCGCCCATCGCACAGCGTTGGTCCAGCGGCCGTGGCCCAGCAGCCTGCTGTCCACTGGGCTGTGCGGTGCTGTTAGCGCCTGCCTGAGGCCCGAATATTGCGGCAGAGCGCGCCAGGCACCACCGCCATGTCGACCGCCGGCGGCCGCATCACGGCGGGCGTGGGCGCGAACCTGATTGGCGTCCACTCTGCTGACCGCAACCAGGAGGCCACTTGCTACGTGGGGAACATCGATCCCCAGGCCAACGAGGAGCTCATTTGGGAGCTGTTTGTGCAGGCCGGCCCCGTGGGTAAGCCTGCGTGCGCAGCTCCCACGCCCTGGCTGCGGTGGGAACATCCAGCGGCTGCCGCCTGGAGCTCCGTCGCCTGCCGGGGTGACCCTGGCGTGCCCTCCCTTCACGCCAACCCTGCTGCTGTGTGCCCCGCCTGTGCAGTGAATGTGTACCTGCCCAAGGACCGCGTCACAAACGAGCACCAGAGCTACGGCTTTGTGGAGTTTCGGTCCGAGGAGGATGCAGACTATGCCATCAAGGTGCGGAGCCCACGCTGGCTGGCTGGCTGGCTGGCGGTGGCGGTGTTTGGGGCAGCGCTGGATTCTCAACCGCACCTGCCCTCTCGTCCCGTGCCGCCGCCTTCCCACAGATCCTCAACATGGTCAAGGTGTACGGCAAGCCGCTGCGCGTCAACAAGGCAGCCCAGGACCGCAACACCGCCGATGTCGGGGCCAACCTGTTCATCGGGGGGCTCGACCCAGAGGTGGACGAGAAGGTGGGCGGCGGCGCACGTGCAGGAGCTTGTACTGTGTGTGTTATGCTCGCGAGCGGGGGCGGTATGGCTGCGCGGGAGGTGGATGGTGTGTGGTGTGGCGGTGTGCGTGTGGAGGCAGCGAGGGTGGGTGTGCCAGGCTGGCCGGGGAGGGGTGCGCCGCTTGGGGCCGCGCTCACGCGCCCGCCCGCCCTGCCCCCCACGACCCTCTCTGCCTGTACCGCACCGTATCGCTCTGTGTACCGCATCCTGTACCGCAGCTGCTGTACGACACCTTCTCCGCCTTTGGCGTCATCGTCAACAACCCCAAGATCATGCGGGACCCAGACACAGGCCTCACCAAGGGCTTTGGCTTCCTCTCCTTTGACTCGTTCGAGGCGTCGGGTGAGCCTGCCGCCCCTCCCCGCCACCCACGCGGCCCCAGCTCGTGCCGACCCTGCAGAGCAGGGTCGGACGCCCGCCCCTGAGAGCCCGCCTGCTTGCTGGGTGGAGCGCCTTGCTGCCGGCCTGCTTCCTGCCTGCTCACTGCATGCCGCGCTTCGCTGCCGCCCTCCCGCAGACGCCGCTCTGGAGGCGATGAATGGGCAGTACCTGATGAACCGCCCCCTCTCCATCTCGTACGCGTTTAAGAAAGATACCAAGGGGGAGCGGCACGGCACGCCCGCAGAGCGGCTGCTGGCGGCGCAGGTGCGGCCGGCTGGCTGGCTGGCTGGCTGGGTGGCTTGGCTGCGGGCGGCGGCCGATGCTCCAGAGGCTCAGGCAGCAGCGGTATCAGCTGCGCTGTGCATGCTGCTTTTGACCATCCTGCTGCGTGTGCCGCTTCCGCTGCCCAACGCTGACCCCCCTGCCCCTGCCGCGCTTTCTGCCCCGCCCTCCCTCCGCCTTCCCCCTGCCGCAGAAGAAGGTCAAGGATAAGCGCACCAGCCGCCCCCACACCATGTTTGCGACGGGCCCGCAGCAGGCGCCTCAGTCGGGGCTGGAGCTGGATGGAGGGCCCTCGGCCGCCATGGGCGCCTCGGGCTTTGCGGCGGGCATGGCCATGCCGCCGCCGCCCATGATGCCGATGATGGGTGTGCCAGGTGGGCTGGGTGGGCCGGGTGGCGGTGTTGCGGGTGGCATGCGTGGTGGTGGCGGTGGCGGCGGCCTGTGGTGGGGAGAGTCTTGTTGTTGGCCGTGGTGGTGGTGGTGGTGGTGGTGCGCGGCTGGTGCACAGATGGTGCTCCAGGCATGTCATCCTGCCTGCTGCCCCGCCTGGCGTGCAGGCATGATGCCGCCCCCCGGAGCCATGGCGCCGCCGCCCTGGGCCATGGGCGCCCCCCCGCAGCACCACGGCGGCATGGGAGGCATGGGCGGCATGGGGGGCATGGGCCCGCCGCAGCACGGCGGCCAGCAGCAGGGCGGGCCGCCGCCGTGGGCGCGCGGGCCGCCGCCGCCGCCCGGCATGGGCGGCCCCCGCCCCATGCACGGCATGGGCATGCCGCCGCCGCCCCCGCCGGGCATGTACGGCCGGGGCCCGCCGCCGCCGCCGGGCATGTTCATGCGCCCGCCGCCGCCGCCTGGCATGTATGGCCACCCGGGCATGGTCGGCCCGCCGGGCATGGGCGGCCCGCCGGGCATGGGTGGCCCGCCGCCGCCGCCACCCATGCAGCCGCAGGCGATGCAGCAGCAGCCGGCTGACGGCGCGCCGCCGCCGCCGCCGCCGCCCTCCGCGACGGCGCAGCAGCAGCCTGATGCGGCGCCGCCGCCTCCGCCGCCGCCCGCGGCCCAATAGAGGGGCTGGACAGCGTAGCTGGCGTGCAGCCAGGCGCCTTGCCGACCATGCGTGCTCCCAAGTTGGCGCACTTGACAACGCGACCCTGCAACAGCTCCGAGCCTGCCGCGGGCAACAGTCGTTAGTGCATTGTGTGCTGTGCCTCTCCCCCTCCGCATCCATACATCAGGCATCTCTCATATCTCTCTCATTGTAATGTAGTTTTCAACAAACTAATGCTCTCGGCTGGTCCTGCTACCATTCCGCACCCGCCTGTGTGGCGGCGGCTGACTTGGGCACATGCGATTAGGAGCTCCTCTCCCTTCGATCTTGTTTCAGGCTCTCAAATCGAGCTGAACTCAAGCCACATTGACCAGGAAAGCGCCTCTCAAAAACTTGGGCAGCATCGCCGGTGTCGGCTGTGGCTGTAGTCGCGCAGACCATCCCGACATGCATGTCGCAGCCTGTTCCACGGCAGCCCGAGGCCCCAGTGCCCATCCATGTGGCGGGGGCATGCGCGCAGCAGACTGCAGAATTTGGGTGGCGCAAGGCGCAAGGAGGGCCGCACTGGCGCAGGTAACGCGGTGTACTGACGGCATGCAGGCTACCAGGGCCACCAAGTGGTCTGCCGTGGCGGCCGCCTGCGCCGCTTGCCCGACCAGCCGCCACTCAATTCCCTTGCTGCCCGTGCCGCATGCAGGGCGTGCTACGGCAGCAGCAGCGCCGGTCGCGGCCGCAGCCGCTTCGTGCAGCGGGCGAGGCGGGCGGGAGCGCAGCTGCGCAGTCGGGCGCGCCGCCGCCGGCCTGGGACCTTGCCCAGCGCATTTCGGGGGATGCTGCCGCCATGCTGATGACTGGAGAGCCTTTCACTGCGGAGCTGATCCTGAGGAAAGGTGAGCGAGCCCCGGTCTGGGATAGCACCTGGACGATTGTGACTCTAGGCTACAGGGCACAGCTGCCAATCAAGGCGGCTGCCCGCCGGTGCTTCTCTCTTTTGTGAAGCTGCCCCCCCTGCTCCTCCGCCTGCGTGCCTGCAGGCCTGGCTGAGATTCAGGAGCAGCACCCGGGGGACCCCTCCCTGGCCCTGCTGCACACGCAGGCAAGCCTGCCCTGCCCGCCTTTTTCCGCCGCCGCCATGGATCTTTCGACTGCGTGCGGCGGTTTGCGCATCTGTCGAGCCCACTCTGTGCCTGCCTGCGCCCGCCTGCCCGTCCACCCTGAGCGCAGCTGTGGAACCTTCAGACCGAGGCGGGGCAGCACGAGCAGGCGCTGGAGCAGGCTCAGGCCGCGTATGACCTGATGCTCAGTGAGCGGCTGCGACAGCTGGCGGGGCGGCTGCGGGCGTGGGGCATGGGAAACGCCTGCTGGGCGCAGGGGCGCGGCAGGCTGGCCGCAAAGGCTGCCTTCGGCTTGCTCCGGGCTTCAACGTGCCGCATGCCGTGCCTCCCTGCCACTCCCGTGCCTGCCTGGCTGCCTGCAGGCTATTTCGGGGAGGAAAGCGCGGATGCCGCCTTTCACGGCATTCGCCTGGGCATCTCTATGATTGGTAATAAACTGAGTTGTTTGATTTCACGATAGTGCTGGCGCCAGCTCAATGGTGGCGCCGGCGGCTTGCTCTCGCACTGGCGCAACGCTTGCCGCCCCGCACCCCAGATGCCGCACCCCCACACGCCCCAACCCCCACCACACCCCGCTGCCCCGCAGCTTCCGGTGGCGACATGGATGCCGCGCAGCAGCTGCTGGTGATGGGCGGCACGTGTGCCCAGCACAACCTGGAGATTTTCTGGGGCAGGCTGCAGGAGCTGGAGGCGGCGGGCAGCCCTGACGCACCGGTGAGCGCCTGAGCTGGTGACGAGGGCCGTGGGACGGGCCAGGTGGCAGTTGTGGTGTCGGCCAGAGGGAGGTTGGGTTGACTAACTAGAGGGTGAAGGGCGTGGGTTGGGGCAGGGCAGGGGCCATCCCATCTGTGTGTGTCCCTGCGGCAGGGCTAGTCCCAGCGCCTGCCTGCCTGCCGCTCCTGGCGCTGCCTGTGCAGGAACTCGCCCTCCAAACCAAGAAGCTGATGGTCGCGCTGGCCGAGTGCAATTTCTATGGCGCGGTGGGCATTGTACGCAAGGCATTGATGAATGGCGATGAGCTGGGTGAGTGCCTTCCTGTCTTGTCCTGGGGCGGGCTGCTTCTCCAGCCGGCGCGGGACGTGCAGGCGCCAGGCCGACGGCTGTGGCTTGACTCGCCATGATGTTGTTTTGGCAAGCCTGCCTGTGGCCCAATGCTACCTAGCCTCACCCGTGCCGTGCCCCCGCCACCTGTCCCGCTGCCGCTGCCGCAGAGCTGCCAATGTCCGACCTGGAGGGCGCATGGCTGGGAGGCGCCAAGCAGATGGCCATGGCGCTGCCGCCAGAGCACCCCATGTTCGCCATTGCTCTGCGTGAGCTGAGCAGGTAGGTAGGATCCACAGGGGAGGCTGGGAGGGCAGACCGTGCATGCGTGCGGCACGGGTGCCGGCAGCAGCCGACACACGTGCGTTGCCTCACCTCAAAGCGCCGCCACTGCTTCTGCTGGTGCCGCAGGCTGATCCCGGATGCTGCAGGGAGGCCGTCGCTGCAAACTGAGCTGCAGGAGGTGCAGGTGAAGCTGACAGACATGCTCTACCTGCTGAAACAGCTGCCAGACAGCATGAAGAACGAGGACGGCACGGCGGCGCTGAGTGCGGAAGCGGAAGCACAGGCGCCCGAGAATGAGTTTCTGCCCTGAGCGCCCCTGCAACTCGCTGGTATTGGCTCGAGCTGCTGTCTAGTTGCATGTTTCGTTAAAAAATCATCTGTCGCAGCCAGCTATTGCCCACGGCAAGCAGCAAGGGGCATTTCGGCGGCGGCGGCGGCGGCGGCGGCGACGACGGTCCTGGACGCTGTTGAGGAGTCCCCCTCAGAGATCGGCAGGTTTGACTCTCATCGCGTGAACACTGCACCCAGATGCGCTGCAGCAGGTCTGCAACCGTGAAGATGGGAGCTAGAGCGGGACGGGTGCCGTTGAGTGGCACTGGCCACCTTATGCGCCACGCCCCTTTATGACGAGACTCCTGACCTGCGCTCGTCCCTTCGTAAATTCGCTTAGGGCGGCCCGTTGAGCACGACGCCTGGTCTTGCACCGGAAGGCGAGGGGCTGCTGGATGCCCACCATGCCGGTGGCTGCTGCCTCCCAAGGCCGAGAGCCAGCGCCCGAGACTGCCGTCGTCCTGCAGACGGCCGCGAAGCTGCAGATGCTCGCAAGGCTGCTGCCGCTCCCTGGGGAGGGCGGCGCTGACGGCGGCGAAGACGCCCCTCAGGTGCATCACCGCCTGTCGCTGGCGCTGCTACTGGTCGCTCAGCTGGAGTACATGAGCCCCCAGGCACTCATCGTGCCCAACTGCAAGCTGCATCTCCGCCTCTCGTCCTACCTGGCCCGCTTGCCGGCGGCATTGTTAGAGAGCGGACCCGCGGCGGCGGCAGCCATCACCAGCCGATCGCCGGCAGCCCGCGTGCTGCTGCTGCATGCAGCCGCCACGCTCTCGGAGCAGCCCCTCAAAGTAGTCAGGGCAGCCTGCAGTGCGGCGGATGTGCTGAGCGACCCGGCGTGCCAGGCAGCTGCCGCACAGCAGCTGGAGCAGCTGGCGGCGCAATCAGCGGCGAGCGCCAGCCCAGCAGGGGGCTCCGCCGTGGCAGGAGCAGCCGCGCGCAGCATCCAGCAGCTGCAGCAGGTGTGCTGGAGGCGGGTGGCAGAGGCCGGAGGCGCGCTGCTGGTGCGGCAGCACAGGCACAGCCGCGTGCTGCAGACCGGCAGCGACAGCACGTTGATGCTCGCGCCCGAGCAGGTTGCAGAATTGGCAGCAGCTGTGGAGCGTGCCTGCAAGGCCCTGGTGCTTCTGGAGTCGTGCAGCCCCAAGAGCCTGCTGGCAGCCGCGGCGGCAGCGGCCAGCCTGCAGCAGGCTGAGCAGGCAGCTGACCTATGCTGGCGGGCGCTGCAGCAGGCGCAGCAGGCGGGGAGCGAGCTCTGGGCTCTCCGCGCCGCCGCCGCCGTGCTGGAGGGCTGTAGCGGCCTGCAGCTGGAGGGCGCCGCGGGGCAGGCGGCCCTGGCCGTGCTGAGGAGCGCGGAGCCTGCTCTGCGGCAGTGCAGGCAGGGGCTGCCGCGGGCGTGGTGGGTGCCGGTGGAGGCAGAAGTGAGGCGCGCTTGGCGCAGAGCCTGCACCGCGGCAGCCCAGCTGCTGCTCCTACAGCAGATGAGCGACAGCGAGGCCCGGCTCGTGCTGGCAGCCTCATTCGTGAAACTCGGTCCCAGCCAGCAGCTGGCAGGCAGCGGCGCCGGCGGCTCTGGCGACACAAGCAAGCCGCCGTCTGCAGGCGTGCAGCAGGAGCAGGAGCAGGAGGAGATGGGGAGCGGCAGCTTAGCCGGCACGCACCATCTGCTGCTGGGCACAGACCTGGCTCAGCAGCTGAGCCACGAGCAGCAAAAGCAGCAGCAGGGACACAGGCAGGAGCATCAGGATGAGGAGCAGAAAGGATGTGCCCTGGCCCCGCGGCAGAGCTGGGAACAGGAGCTGATCAGGTATGCACCTGCTGTGCGTTTCTGCATATCTACCTTGTTGGAGGGTGTGATGGGAGGGCTGTGGGGGGTGGGTGGTGTTGTTGATGAGGTGGGAACCACCTGCCTCCCGCGCTGCCTGTGTGCAGCGCTGAGTGCGAGGCGATGCAAGGCTCTAGCAGTCTCGAATGGCCGCTCACGCCTGCCGGCCAAGCCACAGGTGGGCAAGCCGCCCATGCTAGGGGCCTGCTACAGCGACGCACTGCCGCTGAGCCTGTGCGATGTCTGCCCTGCTCTCGCAGTTGCAGACAGCTGGCGAGGTGTCTGCTGCCCAGCTTTCAAAGGCTGTTGATTGCTGCTTCTGCTGCTCGCTACAGATATGATCGTGTGAGATCCCGGCTTTCCTGTCTCCGCAATAAAAGGCGGGCTGCTGGCAAACACGAATGGCGAGTGAGCCTCTATTGCCTCACCCAGAGCTTCTTGTTTTGTTTTGGGCCCAATGAATCAACCCCGTTTTCATCTCCAGAGGATGGTTTTTCCTTGCCACACCAACGGCCGCCTATATCTTTGCAATGATGACTTCCTGTTTATCTGCAACATTTTTTTCATGTTTGTTTTTCGATCAATTGTGTTGATCTGTTTTTAAGAGGCTACACCTGAACATCTGGCGCAGGCAAGGGCGGCCGCCGCAAGCGGGCAGCATCCCGCGGGCTGAGCGGCATGCCTGGCAACTGCTCTGCCGCACCCGGCAGCGCTCGAGAACTGAGCGCCACAGACTGCTGTCCAGCTATCGCAGGCTCCTGCGGCACCGCTTCGGCAGTTGCCTCCTGCTCCAAGCTCCTGCGCCGCCGCAGTAGCGACCCCCGGCTGCATGCCAGGCAAGCAGCTGCTCAGATGCCCATGGCGTCAATGGGCTGCTCCCTGAAACTGCAGTGCACTCGTGCATGTGTGACATGTGACATGCTGCGGCAAGTATGGGCAGCGCAGCGCAGTGGCAGCGTGCGGCCTGCACCTGAGGTGATGCACCACACGGAAGTGGTGCATCTCAGACTCCAGCTCAGCAGCGCTTTCTTCCAGCTCCCCAGAGCCGCTGTCCGCGCCCGCCAGCGGCTGGCTGCTGCTGGGTGCCGCCGCCAGGCCCTGCGCCGCAGCCTCCTGCAGGGCACATGTGGCTCCATCCAGCGTCAGGTTGCGCGATGGTACATCACGTCGATAGCACGTGTTCAACAAAACACATGCTGCCTGGGGCCCAGAGGAACTGCCTTGCTCGCCTGGACGGCCTGCTCGTGGCTCATGGGAGCCGCCTCCTCCTCGTGCATTGCGTCCAGCTCTTGCAGGTGGCGGCGGTGGCGGAAGCAGCGCGGCATGGCGTACTGGCGCAGCGGCACTAGGAGCATGATGGGCACAGGGAACAGGATGCTGCAAGGAGGCCAAGGGAGATGAGAGGGGAAGGGTAGGGGGCCAGTAGGGCAGGCATATGCTTGGCGGGAGCCGTCCTGGATGGGAGGCAGCGGGCCGCCGCAGGGCCTGCTCACCCGGCTAAGCCCGCCCACGTCAGGCCATACACGCCCAGGAGACAGGCCAGCTGGAAAGCCGTGAACCAGGCAATCACACTGCAGGCAGCAGGGGCCAGGAAGCAGGCAGTCCTTGCCAACCACAGGCACACACACTTCTCACGCACAATCCGACACCCACCCATGCAGCGTCCTGAACCCAGCTGGCCCGCCCCGCCTCCGTTCGCAGGAAAGAAAGTAGCTCCGCTTGCCTGAAGGGTACTGTCTCCAGGTAGGGAGCATGGCCGCGCTCCAGCAGCTGCGGGCGGCGCGCTGGGTCTGTGAGCAGCAGCAGCGTACGGTCCCACAGCTGGCTGCCGGGCAGCGACTCGAGAGCCATGAAGGCAAAGTAACCCCACAGCGCGGCGGTGGGCATCTGGCGGATGGCGGGCATGGTGGCCAGGCAGACGCCCACCCCCAGCGACTGCAGCAGCCCCGACAGCCGCTGCTCCAGCACGTGCATGGCGACCACGCTGTCGCTGGGGCCGCCCTCTGCCATGCACTCGCTGGCAGCCGGGGTCGCCACAGGCGTGTGCAGCGACGAAAGCGCCGACCCTGCTGCAGGAAAGGCTGCTGCGGCCGGGTCGAGCGCTGGCAATGCCGCTCTGAGGCAGGACGCCACGGCAGCAGCTGGGGCAGGCCCAGTTGCTGGCTGCACACCCCCACCGCTGGCCCTCTCTAGGCTCATGCTACTGTCGGCGGCGGCGGCTGACAGGAGGGCTTGGGCTGAGGGCGAGCCGTGTATTTTCAAGCGGGCCTGGCTGGTGCGAGCCCCCTTGGCGCTCTGCCCATTGCTGCGCTCCGATTGCTGCTCCTGCTCCACCTGCTGCTTGTGCTGCAGCTTGTTCCTGCCCGCCACCCTCGCCAGCGCCCGCGTGTGCATCGGGGCTTGCGGCAGCACGCCGTTGACTGGCGGCAGCCCCAGCAGCCCACACAGCAGAGTCATCAGGCCTGCACCGGACTCGCAGCCAGCAACTGGACGGCCCGACGTAGTGCGGGGCTGCCTGCCATGGCTCATGCCAAACCCGCAATTGCAATGCATCCAACCTTGCTGTCCAGTGCTCCACACCATCCACCTGTCCAACCCACCCAGCAGAAAGAAGTCGTAATGGTAGGCAGGCGGCTTGCGCAGCCCAAACTCCGGCTGCTGCGCCAGCTGGGAGGAGACGTTGTGGTCGAAAAAGAACAGGATGGTGATGAGGACGGCGGGGATTGCGGCGGCGGCTATCCAGCGGCCCTCCAGCCGCCCCATGTCCTGCAGGCACAGCACGCGGCAGGCGCAGGCACGGCGTATGGTTTCCTTGCAAGAAGGCGGGTGGTGGGAGAGACGGCGGCTGCGCAGAGGCGCGGGTCGGGCAGCGCCTGCACCTCAGCTGCTGCCCTGCGCCCCAACTCACCGCTGCCACCGTCCAGTTGCGCCGGCCGGCGGCGTCCCAGGCGTTGGGGCTGCGCAGGCGCTGCGGGACGCCCCCTCCCGGCGCTCGCACCGCAAAGGACAGCCCGCTGAAGGCAACCAGCACAACCACTGTTCCATAATCTGCCAACAGCGCTCTGTCAGGTGTTGGTGGGGTGTTGGTTGGTGGGTGGCGGGCAGGCAGGCACAGGGGCACAGGCAAAGGAGAACGTTGGGTGGCAGCTGCTGTGGTGTTGTTGCGCCATGATGGGCACGGGAGCGCCGGCATGGTGCAGGGGTGGAGCTACAGGCAAGATGGCACTCACCGCAGCGGAGGCCGCAAGAAGCGCCAGGAGCGCGCGCCTCGCACCAGCAGGCTGAACAGCAGCACGCCAAAGGCGATGAGCAGCGACCAGAGGCCGTTGGCCAGCTGCCAGCTGGCAGACTGCGGCTCAGCCACCGCCCCATCCACAGCCTCCTGGTGCTGGAACTCCTCCACGCTGCCCTTGATGGCCTGCTGCAAGAACAGCATCTGCAGCAGCAGCAGCAGCAGCAGCAGCAGCAGCAGCAGCAGCGCAGCAAGGGGGTGATGAGCTCGCCATGGCGCTGCCGCCAGTTGCTGCGGGGTGGGAGGGAGCTGTGCCCGCTGGGCCAGTCGTCGATATCATCGATGCTGGAAGGCACGCTGCGCTCAACAGACTCTGCTCCCCATCAGCCGCTGCCGGCGCCGCCGCCGCCGATACCTCCTCACCGCAATCAGTGCGCCGAAGAGCTCCCCCGCAAAGCGGGTGAAGCGTGAGATGTAGGCGCAGGCGTTGCACAGCGCCAGGACTAGGACGAAGAGCGAAGCCCAGACGCACGTCCAGGCAGACCATGCCAAGAACAGCTCACGGCCCAGGCCTGCGGGCAGGCATGAGGCAGCCATGAACGGCTGGGTCTGAGGCTGCGGCTGGGGCTGGGTAGCCGAGGCTGCAGGCGTGGCCGGCGATTCTGGAGGCGGCACCTGCCACCCAGACGGGCAGCCCCTACGGCAACAGCGGATGTGGCCCTGCCCTGCCCCTCGGCGGGTCGGGTGAAGCCCCACACCGGCGCTGACCTTCCCTGCCTTTGGCAAAATCGTACATGAACTTGTAGGTGATGACAATGGGCTCCGCCACCCCCACTATCAACAATGGCTGCCCGCCCGCCACCGCCTGCACCACGTCCGTGATGGCGGTGGCGGCCAGCACTGCAGCAGGATGTGGGGCAGCGGGGCAGGGTTGCCCTGAAGATCTTAGTTTTTTTTGTATTTTGTATTTCCAGGGGCCTTTCTGCAGCAGTAGAGGTGCGGCATGGCTGTTTCCGGGGCCTGGCTGCTGCGGGCGGTTCACCCTGCACTGCCGACAGCAGTCCCTCTGTCTCAGAGTAGAGCTGCTCGCCAAAGGCGAGGGCTGGGATGGCAGAGGCGCAAAATATGTAGGTGGCGGCGGCCAGAATCCTGCGGGGCGCGGCTTGTTGTATCGTTTTAACATCATCAAACGGTGAGGTGGCAGTAACAAGCCGTCGGCGCGCCGCAGCCACACCAGGCGGCGGCACCAGGCGGCGGTGCCGGCTCACCTCAACTTGCCCCTGCGGCTGGACCAGTCGTCTCGGTAGGTTGCCAGCCTGCTTATGAAGTCCTCCCTGATGCCTGAGCCGGCCCAGCGGGCTGCCGACCAGCAACACATCACGCCGCCCACCGATCTGCGGCAGGCTGCGCAAGCCGCGGCAGAAATCTAATCGCAACGGCTTGTGTCATGATGATCAGAGAAAAATGCCATCATCTGCCACCACGGTGTTGTGGAGTGGCAGCTGCTATCAGATTTTAAGGGTTGCCCATTCCCTCCCCAGACTCAATCAACGGAGCCACAGCTGGAGAGGAGGAGCATCGACAGCAAGAACATCAGTTCTGCACTGCCAAGGGGTCTGCTTGCTGTGGTCAACATACCGCCGTGGCAACATGGCGCTGGTCAGGACTTCCTGACCCAGGGACCAGCTCTGGAGACCGCTGGCAACGAATCATTGATGCGGAGCGAACACAGAATTGCTGACCTAAGGCGCCAAACACCGGCAGCCCAAAGCAGGCAACAAATTCCGACCACCACACCGGCACCAGCCGCCCACCCCCGCTCTCGCCCACCCTCTCTCCTCTTGCTCCCATGTTCTGTCACACTTTTGGGTTGGGTTCAATGCAAATCAATACGGTGCCCCAATCGGCGCCACACGGTTAGCGGTTTGTTGAGTGGGGAAGACGAGTCGCGCAAACGAAATCAGGGCGCCGGCGGGAAGTGCTCTCAGGCACTGCACACGCACACACCCGCCGGTGGGCTGGTTGGATGGCGGCCAAGCAGAGAGGAAAAGCAGGAGTCAAGCAAGCGAGGAAGACCAAATAGGGTGCCGCCACCTATGGGCTAGGACAAGGGCCGAAATCGCGGCCCATGCGCCGCCCAGCGGCCGCATCAAGGGAAGGGGGCTGGGCGGCCCGGCGCCAGCGCTCCACGGATTCAAGGCAGCTCCGTGTTGTGTCCACCAACTGTCCCTCAGCACAGAAACAGTGGCTTGGAATGGACGTGCCCCGATCCAAAGGGACCCGCCAGCCAAGCAGGCTCACTCCACGACCTCGCCCACCACGCCGGCTCCCACGGTGCGGCCGCCCTCGCGGATGGCAAAGCGGAGGCCCTGCTCCATGGCGACTGCAGCAGCCGTAGTGTGGTTGGCAGGCGGCGGCAGTCAGTCCCAAGACGTCAGGCGGGTCAGTATAGCCCTGGAAGCCAGCAGCACGCAGCCTGTTCCTGCCCTCCAGGGAAGGAGCGGGCAGGCTGCAGCTGCGGGGAGGCTGGCGGGCACCCACCGGGGCAGATGAGCTCAAACGTGCAGGTGACATTGTCGCCTGGCATCACCATCTCAGTCCCCTCTGGCAGGGTGACGGTGCCTGCGGGCAGCACAGCACGGGACATCAGCACAGCAGCAGGATAGTGGCAGGCATGATGGCCACCATACCTGCACACCCCGCACCATGCCCATTCCACAGCCTCCTCCCACCGACTTTCTGCCCACACAGGCAAGGTCGCCGCCCATGCACGGCGCATGCAAGCAGAACAGCGCCGCAGAGAGGCCCACCCGTGATGTCTGCTGTGCGGAAGAAGAACTGCGGCTTGTAGTTTGAGAAGAAGGGGGTGTGGCGGCCGCCCTCCTCCTTGCTCAGCGCGTAGATCTCTCCCTTGAACTTGCGGTGGGGCTTGATGCTGCCCGGCTTGCACACCACCTGCATGACAGGGCGGGAGGGCAGGGGAAGTGGAGGGAGGGAGGCGGGAAGGAGGGAGTGAGGGCGGAGGCGGGGGAGATGCAGAGGGGAAGATGACATGGAGCGAGCCAGCGCCGCAGCGCTTTCCTGGGCGGTTTGCGCTGCGGCAAAGCAGCCCCCATCGGCGGGCGGGCCCATGGGGCCATTCTCCCACTCCCTGCCGCTTTCTACGCACCTGCCCGCGCTCCACATCGTCGCGCTTGATGCCGCGGATGAGCAAGCCCACATTGTCGCCTGCCTGTCCCTCGTTCAGCTGCTTCTTGAACATCTCCACGCCTGGATGGGGAGGGACGGGGGTCGCGGGGAGCAGGGTGTGTGTCAGGGCACTAGGGAAACCGCGCCAGAGACAGCAGGGCGAGGGAAAACAGCTGCCATACTGCTCCCGCTCCCCGACCCAGCTGCACCCTGCGGTTGCCCCGCTCACCCGTCACCGTGCTCTTGGTGCTGGTGGGCCGGATGCCCACAATCTCCACCTCATCCCCCGTCCTCACAATGCCCTGCTCCACCCGACCAGTCACCACCGTGCCGCGCCCCTGCAGCAGTGTGCACGAGGCTGGGAATGGTGGTGGAGCAGGGGCTGGCCGCCATGACGGCAGGGACCCGCCAGCCTCCCCTACATCCACCCCTGCATGCCGGCAGCAACCAAATGCAGCAGGAGCAGCGCTGCAAGGGGAGGGAGCAGCTAACAGGCTCCCAGCAGCAGCAGTGGCAGGGGCGTCGGCCGTGCGGCTGGGCGTGTTACCTGGATGGAGAAGACGTCCTCCACAGGCATGGAGAAGGGCTTGTCCAGGGCGCGCACAGGGTCCGGGATGTAGCGGTCCACCTCATCCATCAGCTTCAGGATGGCCTGCCTGCAGGGGGGCAGCGGCCACAGGCGGGTGGGCAGGCCCAGGCGGGGCGGCGCCGGTCAAGCGGTGGCGGAGCAGGGTGGAGGAAGGGTACATCAATGTGGGTACATCAATCGCATGATATACACGCAACCATCTGCCCAGGCCAAGGCCGAGGCAAAGAGGTACGATGCAGCGAGTGCAGCGAGGGGTGAGTGTGCAGCAGAGGAGCGATGGTTGGTGGGGGCGCAAGTCGCGTGCGGGGCTGGTCAGACAGGCCACGTTGGGCCGAGTTGACATCACAGCGTGTTGCTCAAGAGGAAGGCAACAGGTAGAGTGTATCGTCACCCCAGCCGCGCGCAGGCGCCACTTGCAAGCGTGCACCCTTGCAACCATGCAGCAGATGCAGCAGCATACCTGCAGCTCCGTGCACCCCATACAAATACACCTGACACACACACCAACATCGCGTGTGTACTACATACCCACACTCCACCCCACCAACTCACTTGCCAATCTTCTCGTTATCTCCCTTCAGCGCCGCCAGCGCGGAGCCGCGCACAATGGGAATGTCATCGCCTGGGAACCTGTGGGCGGCGGCGGCAAGGCGAGGGGCGGCAGGCCACAGGCCACGGGCAGCTCAGCACGACCACCTTGCCCCTTGCCGCAACAGGGCGGGCAAACTGGACAGCCAACAAGGCAATCCACGTGCCAGGGTGTGCATGCCACAAGCCATAGGCAGTACACACAGGCAAGCCGTGTAGGCAGTACAGTGTGCGGTACATGCGGTACGGTACACCACGCACTTGTAGAAGGACAGCAGCTCCCGCAGCTCCATCTCCACCAGCTCCACCAGCTCCTCATCCTCCACCATGTCGATCTTGTTGAGGAAGCACACGATGGAGGGCACGCCCACCTGCAGGAGAGAGGAGGAACACAGAAAGTGCCAGGCCGGGGAGGGGGGTTGATGGAAAGGCCGGGCGGGGGTTGTGCAAGGCGCGGCGGGAGGTTTGGGTGCGACGAGCAGCAAGGGCCAGCCGCAGGACTTAGCGTGCAGCAGGGGCAAGGCGGGCATGGGAAAGCGGATGACAGCACCGGCCTGGCTATGCCCTCCCTGTCCTCCGCACCTGCCGCGCCAGCAGGATGTGCTCCCGCGTCTGTGGCATGGGCCCGTCTGTGGCAGACACCACCAGGATGGCGCCATCCATCTGCGGGGCAGCGCAGGTGCACGGTTCAGAAATGAAATCACACATGGCGACAGGCTGAGCTGGCTGTCAACCCGTCACGCACCCCAGCCGGGGCAGCCAGAGGATGTGACAATGACCAACCGACACCGACACCAGCCGCACACCCCACCGCCACAACACACACTCTCTCCCCGATTACCTGCGCTGCTCCCGTGATCATGTTCTTCACGTAATCGGCGTGGCCGGGGCAGTCCACGTGAGCATAGTGCCGCTTGTCTGTCTGGTACTCAACTGCAGGCAGCATGACAAGGGGCGTGTGTCCAGGTCAGCGCCAGCTGCTGCAAGCCGTCGCCACCGGCGCCAGAGACAAGCTGACATGCCTGCCCTCGAGGAACGGACGGCAACAAGCCCCCAACTACAGCACATCCCCGCCTCGCACACACGCCGAAACCCAGCCTGGCCGCACCGTGGGCGGTGGCGATAGTGATGCCTCTTGCCTTCTCCTCGGGCGCCTTGTCGATCTCATCAAAGGCAATGGCCTTGGACTTGCCCTCCTCAGCCAGCACCTGCACGCGGCAGCAGCCGCAGGTTGCCGCTGAGGTGCCAGCCAGGGACCCAGCATGGCCATGGCCTCACAACCATCAGCCGTCATCCCGTTCCTGACAACCCCTCTGCCTGGTCGCATGCTGCTTTCAGCTCAGTCAGCCAGCAGGCATCCTGCCAGCATGGACCCGGGACGTCCGGCGGGGCCAGCCAGCGGCGCCTTGCCCCATCTGGCAGGCCGCATGCATGTGCGTGCCTTTGTGATGGCGGCAGTCAGCGTGGTCTTGCCGTGGTCAACGTGGCCGATGGTGCCCACATTAAGGTGCGGCTTGACGCGGGTGTTGATGTCGTAGTCGCTATAGTTGCTGCACCACAGCGACAACAACAGCCAGGACCGCACGCGGTGAGCGGGGTGGACCACCAGGTATGAAGATGCGAGGATGTCAAGGTGCAGGCGCACACGGCGGACGCTCGTTTGGGCAAGCTGTCCGCAGGTGCCAGAAGCCAGGCTGGACTGGTAGACTGCTGGGTGGCCGGCACTGCGGGTTGTGTGCGAGTGCGCCCACGCAGCGCAGACAGCGGCGGCAGCGACTGGCGGTGCCCAACCCTGCACCAGCTAGCGCGTGGCAGCCTGCTGCATCGCGGTCCCAGCCACTCACCGCACCGCCACGGTGAGCCAATGGGACTGCTGTTGCCGCCTGCATGCGCGCAGAGAGGGCCGATGGTGAGCCCACCTGGTCGAGCAAACCCGAAGCATCCACAAGGCTGACAGGTTGTAGGGGACTGAATCTTACCCGAGGCCGAGCTCCGCCGACCCCGCCTGCGCCAAGCTGCTGCTCCGAGCCAGCAGGCTCGCAGCCGCCCTCCGAAGCATCCTGATGACGCAGCAGGCCACCCAGTCGGTCCCAAGATCGGCAAAGGAGTGAAAACGGGCAGATGGCCGGGAAAGAGGATGCGGGCCAGGCTGGCGCGACTGGAAGAAGGCCCACAGCTACGCGCACCACGATTGACGAACTCCTGAGAGGTCAAATTGGCTGAGCGATGGCTGCGCAGGCCATAGACCCGCTGCACTCCGCTCGGTGAAACCGTGTAGCGTGGAGCTGGATGGGCTCCTCCAGGTCTGTGCAAGGTCGAGCACGCGTTCCAAGGCGGTGCAGTGCCGGCCAAGCCCTGCCAACAGCTGTCGGCGGTGCCACCGTGCCGGTGCCCCGCCAACGCCTGTGCCGCGCCTCAACAGTGGTTAGCTGCCTCCCGCCTGCCCTGCCGCAGGCCATCACTCCTGTCGCCTGCCCTGCCGCGCCTACCGGGAGGAGGCGGCGGCGGGCTTGGGCTAGCACCCACCGAGCCATGCCTGGCGCCAGGCGAGTATGGCCAGCCGCCACCGCCCATCACGTGTGATCCTCTGCCTCCGGAGGTGGCAGCCAAGCTGGCAGCAGGGGAAGGCATGGCGGTGGCGCTGGAGGGCCATAGCAAGCACAGCCAGCTGGAGTGGTGCCTGGAGCAGGCAGCGGCAGCGGCACGGCTGCAGCGGCGGCATCCGGCCGAGGCGCAGCAGGTGGGCATGCGGGCTGCTGGCAGCTGTTGAGTCCACATCGCCGTCTGCTGCTGAGGCCCTAGACCTGGGCCTCTCCCAGGCGCACCCCTATTCTGGGCCCTGTGGCTGTTCCCACCTCCCCACCGTGCCCCATGTGCTTGCTGTCGCTGCTGCTGCTGTGCCACAGGCTGAGCGGCCTGCACGGGCCTCGACCAGGCCTGCCGCTCATGCCCCCGCCGCCGGCGCCCGCGCCCGCGCTGCCGCTGCCCTCAGCAGCAGCAGCAGCGAGGAGAGGTTTGGGTCGGAGGGAGCGGTGTCTTCTGGTGCCTTGCACATGCACAGCCGCGCATCCGCTGTGCTGCAGGTGAATGAACCGCAGGTTTGGCGGGCGGCGAGGCGGCGGGTCGCAAGGGAGCACCCCAGAGATTGGCCGGGCCCAGATCTGCCTGCCTCTACCTCCTCAGCACGTGCCTCACTTTCTTGCCCCCTGCCCTGCCGCCATGCCAGCAGGAGCCACAGGCTATGGAGCACGATGCTCCGCCAGGCGAGGCAAGCGATGGTGGAGCGGCGGAGGCAGAGGCAGGCGCGGAGGCGGCGTCTGAGGGCCAGGCAGGGGACTCGGGTGCCCTGTTGGAGCAAGAGCTTGAGCAGGGTTTCGCCGAGTGTGCTTCAGGGGCTGCGGCGGAGGAAGAGGGGGAGCCTGCGGCAGCACCCGCAGCAGCACCTACAGCAGGAGCAGAGGCGGCAGCCGCGGCAGGGCCAGGCGCCGCGGCGCAGGAGGCAGGTGGGGCAGAAGCAGATGCGCCGCCCTCTGCTGCCGGTGGCAGCAGGCGGACCTCTGCAGCAGCTCGCCGGCAGCAGCAGCAGGCTCGGCGGCGAACAGCCGCTGCTCTGCCAGTCCCTCCCGCTGCCCGGCCGCGGTCAGCAGCCGCCGCTGCCACTGCAGCAGCGGCAGCGGAGGAGGAAGCACCGGGCGGTGGTGACGAGGGCGGCTGGTATGATTCGGGGTCGGAGGCTGCTGCTGGGCCGTCGTCCCCTGTGGCAAAGGAGGCAGCGGAGGGCGGGTCGGGAGCCGAGGAGCAGGCAGCGGGAGCGCAGTCGCCCGGCAAGCGCAAGCGCCCGCCCGCGCAGGAGGCTGCTATCCAGGCTGCGCTGCACAAGCTCGGGGAGAGCGGCTGGCCGGAGTTCTGCCGCAAACTGTGCGAGCACGCGGAGCGGCGGGAGGCGTCGGCGGCAGCAGGTGGCGGCCGCGGGCGTGGGCGCGGGCGCAAGGGCGGACGCGGCAGGGGTGGCAAGGGCAAGGCTGGCGGCAGCACGGCGGCTGAGGAGGTGGGGGTGCAGGATGTGCTGAACAAGAACAGCCGCCTGTTCCATGAAGGCTTTGCTGCCGCATATCACGAGGCAAAGGCGCAACTGGACAAGTGCGCCTGCTGCTGCCGCCGCTGCAGCTTCCTGCCTGAAAGCCTGCCTGCCTGCCCGTAGCGCTGCCTCCCTCTTGCCTGCCGCGCACAGCTGCACATGCCTCTCCTGTGCTCTGCGCGGCTGCTGCTGCTGTGCGCCTGCGTGTCGGCCAGCCAGCCGGCCGGCCAGCTCACTGGCGCGCATGCCCTGGGCTGCCCGTGGCTGCCACGCAGGAAGGATACTAAGCGGCAGAAGGAGGAGAGGCTGAAGGAGCACAGCAAGCTGGTGGGCCGCTGGTCGGAGCTGAGTGCGCAGGACCATGGCTGGTATTTGCAGCACAAAGGTGGGCTGGGTCCCCAACAGTAACTGGCGAGCCCCACCCACCACCCCACCACCCCCATCCCCACCACACACACACGCACACATATACAACGGACACACACTCCCACACATGCATCACCACCCGCACACACCACCACTGCTGCCACCGCCACCAACCTACCCCGCCTCTGCCCACGCCACGCTCCCGCCCGCGCAGGCACCGTGCTGTCGGTCGGCGACTCGCTGCACATGCAGGCGCTGCAGGGCCGTGTGCAGGAGGAGCAGGGGCAGTACATGGCGCATGTGCAGCAGAAGGCGGCGGGCGTCAAGTACCAGCACTGCACAGAGCGGCAGGGTGCGCAGCTGGAAGAAGACGAGATGGGCAGGCGGCAGCGCGTGCACCGCGGCCTCCCGCGCTGCTACCGCCTGCGCGCGGTGCTGCCCGTCCCCACGCCTGCCGCCGCCGCTGCTGCGGACGCCGGACGGCAGCAGGCAGAAGGGCTGCCGCTGCGGCACGTGGCGGCGCTGCGGCGCGAGGGCCGCCCCCCGGTGTTTGTGCGGCCCGCCGACGGCGCCACCATCCCTGGCAGCAACATCTACCTGCCCTGTGTGGTGGAGGCGCCGCCGGGCGGTGCAGGCAGGGCCAGCGGCGGCAGCGGCGAGGTGTACCGCAAAGCAGAGGTCCCGCCGCTGGCAGAGGACCCACTGCTGGCCGAGCTGGCGCAGCAGGCGCAGCAGGCGCAGGATGAGCGCGCAGCAGCCGCTCCGGCTGCTGATGGCGCGGCGCAGCCGCTGTTCTGCCTGTCAGCCTCGGCCTTTGCTGCCATTGTCAGCACGCCCATGCTGGAAGGGGTGCCTGCCTGGGAAATCCCGGTCACCATCCAGCAGCTGCCACCGGCAGCGGCGGCGGGAGCCGGTGGGGAGCAGGCAGGCGAGCAGCAGCAGCAGCAGCAGGAGTCGGGCAGCGTGGTGGTGTGCTTGGAGAAGCCTCTGCTGCCGCGCATGATGACGCTTCGTGCCAAGCAGCAACGGCTGCAGAAATATGCTGTCCTCTCTCTTGGACTGCAGCAGCAGCCACAGCAGGAGCAGGGCGGAGAGCAGCCACAGCAGCAGCAGCCCAGGACGAGGCGCAGCACGCGAGGGACTGCAGCAGCGGCAGCGCCACTATCACCGACGGCGGTGCCGGGAACGGCGGGCCTGCCTCCGCGTGAAGCCTCATACGACTGCTGGCAGCTAGGCGGGTGTCGCCTGCTGCTGCGCTCCCACGGCCGAATGCTGTTGCATTGCCCGCAGCAGGAGCAGCAGCGGGCTGCAGAGGAGGGGGCGGATGGCGGGGAGGAGGTGCCTCCCCCTCCGCCGCCACCACCGGCGGCGGATGGGTGCAGCGGGGACGCTGCTGCTGCTCCTGCGGGTGGCGGGCATGGAGAGCAGCGGCATGTGGTGCTGGCGCTATCACCTGAATACTTGCCTGAGCCAGACCTAGGTGGGCTGCCTGCCGGGCTGCCCTGCCGCAGCTTTGGGCATGCATGTGCACTTGTATTTGCACCCCAAGCCTGCATTCGCAGCAAGTCTTCATGTGTCCTCAACCGCCGCACCTGCCCCTTGGGCACCCTCCTTGCCTTTCACCTCTATGGCTCCCTCCTCCTTTCCTCCCTCCTTTCCAGAGGAGACTACGATGGAGGAGCTGTGCTCCTGGTGGCTCAAGCTGCTGCTGCGCCCTGCTGTCAACACTCTGCTGGTGGGCCCGCTGCGCCTCTAATGGCTCTTCTGCTCGCCAGCTGTCGCCACGCATTTCCCTGCCATTGCCCCTGCCGCCTCTGCTGCTGCTGTGGGCAGCGCCTTGCGAGGCGCCTGCCCCAGGGCGTGCCTGCTGAGTGGTGTGGAGCTTGCGCGTCGGCCTGGCGCAGGTGGCGCACGTGCATGTGCCACGGGGAAAGGTGCAGAGCTGCGAGGAGCTCACCTCAGCAGACATTGAGCGGCAGTTTGGCGGCGATGGCGCTCCGGCCGAGCAGGGCGGCAGCCGCATGCACCAGGCTGCGGCAGCCGGCCTGGAGCTGCTGCAGCAGCTGCTGCGCGCGGTGGGCCAGCAGCCTCCGGGGCGCTACCTGCTGTGCCGCGTGCCAAGGGACACCACGTGCTGCCTGTTCCGCGCCCTGCCGCCCGACCTGGAGGCATCTGTACAGGCGAGCTACTGCCGCTCCTTGCTACCCCCGCCTGTTGCGTTGCACTCTGTGCTGGTGCAGCACTCTGCTGTGCTGGCACTATGTGCCGCCTCGCCTCCATGCAGCTGCTACATGGTCCTTCTTGCTTGCCCAACTGCCGCTATCATCCATCCGCTGTTCTCTGCAGGATCAGGCCTCACCACTTCCCTGCAGCTCGACGGTGGCACGTGAGGGGACAGTCTATGATCTGCATGCAGGTGGGCAGGCCGGGGCGTGGCATCTGCCCGCATGCCCACCAGCCAGCCTGCTTGCTGGCACAGTGCCCGCTGCCATGTCAGCTGCTATGTTGGCGAACAGCTATCTTACCACCGCGCCACCCACGACGATGCGCACCCCATCATTTGGGCATCCCCTGCCTCTGCTCACTCCCACCCAATGTGGCCCTCCTGGCCTGCCGTCGCCGCTCCTGCTGCAGCCCACCATCGCAGCGGCGCCACAGACCTGCACACGTCGCCCTTTGTGCCGCCCCGCTGGCGCCCGCTCAGCCCCGACCTTCCGCAGATCCCATTCACCTTCCCCCCCAGGTGCGCCGGCCCGCGAGGCGCAGCAGCGCTGTGCTCAAAGGCTCGAGTTCCACTGCAGGAGGCGTCAAGGTGGCTGCCTGCCTGCAGCTGCACACTGTGCAGCTCTCTTGTCAGCCGAGGCAGCATCCTCCCCTTCCCCTTTGAATGCTTCCTTCTGCGTGCAGGTCTGGACACCTCGGCCGCAAGTACGCAAAGGCGCGGCAGCGCAAGGCTCTTCCCTATGCTTGGGGGGTGCTGGGCGAGGGCGGCGACTTTGACCAGGCACGCAGGGCGGGGCCGCGGCCGCTGATGCTCGTTTCTGCCACCACAGCTGGCGGCGGGGAGCCGTGCACGGGACCAGCTTTGCAGCTGAGCAGCGCTGTGCCGTGCTGTGCTTGCCTGCAGGTGCAGCACCTGGGCCAGATCAGCAGGGCAGACTATGCGCAGGCCATCGGCGAGGAGCTGTAGAGGGATGGCATGGGCGGCTGCCTCCTTGCACAGTTAATCCACAACGGTGTACCCTGCAGCATCAGGCGGTGCAGCAGCGGCGCAGGGGCTCTCAGCAGTGTTCAAGGATCGCGGTGCATGTAAATTCTGACGAGTCACATGCAATCATTTAAGCCAGATTCAGAATTATGCTTCTGATCGGTGGTGTGCAGGTGCCGCGGTACGCGGCTCCGCTGCCGGCGGTACGCCGGCAGATGATGCCGTCGAAAAAGCCGCAGGAAGAGGTGCTTTGTTGTCTGCCTGGTCCCTGCTTTTGTGTTTGCGGCCCTCCGACACCAGCAGGGGCAACATGGCGTCGGCTTGCATGGCTTCTACCTCGGCCCTCCTGGCGCCTCGCAGCAGCAGCAGCAGGCAGGCGGCTGCCACAGTCAGCAGCATGCCACTGCGGCTTCGGAGTGAGTCGCGCCCACGCACACTTGCATGGCCCTGCCAAAAGCTCCAACACGCGCCAGCCAACACGCATTGCGACCTGCGACCATGGCATGATGCCCTCCCGGCGCTGGTGGCCCCCCGGGGGGGTGAACCCTCTGGAAACCCTCCCCGCCCGCCGCCGCTCTGGTTGCAGGCCGGCAGCAGCGCGCGCCGGGGCGGCAAGCGGGCTGCTTGCAGGTGCAGGCGGTGCTGACCAAGGAGAAGTCTGAGATGGATGTGTCCAAGGTGGGTCACCTCTTGGTGTTCCAGAGGGAGTACAAGAGGCCCCCCGAGTGTGGCCATACCATCGGCACCCTCCTTGTACCTCCTCCTGCTGTTGACTGGCGCCTCGCCCTCGCCAAGCCTCAAGCACATGCCTCACCTGGCCTCGAGCCCTGCCTGCCGCTGCAGATGTCCCCCCTGGGCGACCGCCTGCTGGTGAAGCCGCAGGAGGTGGAGAAGCAGACGGCGGGCGGCATCCTGCTGTCCCCCACCTCCAGCGGCAAGAGCATGCAGGATGCGCTGGTCGGCACAGGTGCGGGCGGCCGCAGCACAGCAGCTCAACACCACGGCCTGCGACCTCTGCTGCTGGGCTGCTCTGCTGCGGGACCTCCGGGGGTCGCGCCCACGCGCGCCCTCAACACTGCATGCCCTGCCCCGCCTCTGTCTGCGCCTGCAGTGCTGGCCGTGGGCGAGGATGTGGACATTGGCGTGGCGGCGGGCGACCGCGTGCTGTTCAGCAAGTACGGCAGCTCAGGTGCGGCAGCGTTTTTTGTTTTGGGTGTCGCTGTTGTCGCTGTGCGCATGTGTGTGTGTGTGTGTCTGCGCAACTCACAGGCCGGCATAAAATTGATGCGGAAGGGCCAGGGCCGGGGGCAGCGCGCTCGCTCGAGGGCTAGTGCCTGTTGGTGCCAGCCGGCCCGCATGCCTGCTGCTGTGCCGGTGACGGTGTGCCACCCTGGCGGCGTGCAGATGTGGAGGTGCCGGATGGCGAGATCTGCTTTGTTGCCCAGAAGTCGATTCTGGCCAAGCTGTCCTGAGCGACTCTCGCGATGGGCCGCCTGCTGTCCTGAGCATCTGCCCCGATGCAGTGCCTGCTCGCCTGTGCTCGCGCATTGCCTGCATTGATTGACGACTCGAATGCGCCGCCGTCAACCCACTGCTTTTGCCGGTGCTTCCCTGTTACGTTTCGCTGGCTATAGTTACAGCGGGGCGGCGTGGAGGGAAACGGAGGGGAAAAAGCGGCAAGGTGGCTCAGGGCGTACTGCCCGGCGCAAGGATGGCGTACGACATGAAAGGAGGCGGAAAGGACGCTGCCCTCAAGTTAGATAAAAGGCGCTGAAAACAACGGCAGCCGTACAGCGCGCGGTGGCCGGCGCTCGTTGGGCACGATGCGCGGGCTGCCGCAGCAAGTCAGGCTCAAGTAAGTGTGACAGAGCGGGTGGTGGTGGGTTGGATCAGGGGGTCGTTCTTTTCAAAGCCTGAGGGGAAGTAACGCACGCGGCACGGGGACGGGGGCTGTTCTGCCACGGCCTGCTGCGGGTGGGAGGGCATTTGTTGTTGGTGGGATCAAGCGGGCTGGCAGCTGCCATGCAAGCCAGGAGCTTTCAGTATGAAAGCAGACAAAAGATGGAGCACACAACAGGGTGTGGGGCAGGCGCACAAGGGCTGGCGAGGGGCTGGCAAACACTGCCCTTGCTGGGCAAGGGACAGCCTGTGCGAGCTCAGCAGCAGACGAGGATAGATGGATGCAAGCGCTGCTGCGGAGGGCTCTGGATGGAAAACGATAATCAGACGGGTCGTGACGTTGGGACAAGATGGCTGCATTCATTGCTGAGGCACGAGATAGATGTAGGCAGTAGGGTAGAGAGAAAATGAGATGGATGGCAGTGTGAGGGGGAGACAATATATCGACGAACATTGGAGAGAAGGAAGACCGCCCACGATGCTGGCCGGCCGGCGTCGTTGCTGTTTGAATGGGATCGTTTGGATGGATCGTTGATCAGATGGATTGATCGGACGGATTGCCGGTGCGGCAATGCGCCTCGACGGGCGTCATGAGTTGACACGGTGCAAGGGGGCTAGAGGGCACAGGCGTCGGCCGCCGAGGCCGACAGCTGCGCCGCAGGACCAGCGGGGCTCGTCGCCTTACTGCTTGCGGCTGGCACGCGCCTGCTTGGCAGGAGGGGCAAGGTCGGCGGCCTCCTCCTCGCCCCGGCTGCCCGGTGGCGAGTCCGGCACGGGGGTCTGGTCCCCAGGCGTGTTGCTGCCGCTGTCGCTGCCGTTCCTGCCGCCGCCCACGCTGGTGTCTGCGGCAGCGGCCGGCGTCTCGCGCCGGTGCTTGTGGCCCGACAGGTGGCGGTGCAGCTGCTGCTGCCAGGCCGCAGGCGCGCCCGCGCTGGCGCCGGGCGCCTCGCCCCCGCGGGGCCCGGTAGTGCTCGCGCCCGCGAGCTGGCTGCCGGCGCCGCTGGCGGCGCCCGCGGCGGCCAGCGCCTGCACTGCCTTCTGCAGCTGGTGCGGGTGCAGCGACACCTTGCCCTGGCGGTGGTGGGCGCTACCACCGAAGCTCATGGTGGCGCTCTCGCTCTCGTCCTGCACACCCAGCAAGCCAGCAGAGCAAGGGTTCAGGCGCAGCAGCGAGAGCCGTCACCCACCCTCGCGCCACCCCAGGGGAGGCCTGGCAACGGCGGGCAGCACAAGATGCAACAGCTGCACACACACGCAGCCGGGCACAGATCGCAGCACACAACGGGCAGGCGAGCAGCAAGGAGCTGCGCCGCACCTGCAGCAGTACGGCGTACTGCCTGCGTGGCCGCGGCTGGGAGGCCAGGGCCACGCGGCGGGGCTGCTCATCCTCCTCAGCCCCCAGGTCCTCCTCCTGGCGGTCGTACTCCTGATCCTCCTCCTGCGGTGGCAGAGGGCAGGAAGCAGGCGCAGGCAAAGCGTCAGCAACACAGGTCAGCATCAGGTGCCCGCAGGCGCAGCAGGCGCAGCAGCAGGTGTGTGGGTCGGCAGGGCCGACGGGTGCAGCCGCAAGGGCGGGCGTGTCGGCAGCCAAGCCCAGCGCCACGTTGGGCGGCAGTGGCGTCGAGGCGGCGGTAGGCTGGCTGGCTCCCTGGCTGGCTCCCTGGCTGGCTGGCTGGCCCTACACACACCTGGACCTCCATGGGCTCCTCCCGCTGATCCCCGCCAGCAGTGCTGGCAGGGGAGGGGCTTGCGGGCGTGGGGATGGCAGGGGTGCCGCCATCCACATCCACCACTGCGGCTGCCTTCTTCTTGGCAGCGGCAGTCACCACGGGGTCTGCGGCGGTAGCCTGCTGCGGGTGGTCCGGAGAGGCGGAGGGGGCGCCGGCGCCTTCCTCCGCCCCGCTGCTCTTGTTGTCGCCAGTCGAGGCGGCCTCTGTTAGGACCGAACGGGGCAGCAGGAACCAACAGGACAGTCGGTCAAGCCTGGCACAGCCCCGCAGCATGCGGCCAGAATGCGACCCCCCTTACAGGCACTGCAGATGCTTGCTGAAGCTGCGGCAGCCGCCGCTCCACAGCACAACAGCTGCCCAGCTGGCAAGGCAGCCGCGCCACCCTCGGCTCACCCTCTTTGGCCATCCGCACAAACTGGCCCCGCACGCGCGGCCGCTGATCGGCGAGCGCCTGCAGTGAGAGCGTCGGGCTACGGTCAGCAATTCAGCGCATGAGCTGCAGGGGAACTGCTGGCTGCCATCGCAGCGAGCTAGCAGGCGGACAGCCAGCCACTCCCCCGCCTCACCTTGCGCGTCTGGTACCGGATCTTCTTTCCAAAGTGCAGCCGCTTGCGCTTCTCCTTGTAGCGAGCATATGCCTGCAGTAATCGGTGGGTGCGAAGAAGGCTCATCACCCCAAGGTCGAGAGGAGCCGGGGAGGGCTGGGATGGGGTGGAAAGATCAGGATGCTGTGCAGCAGCAGCGCCCGGAACAGCAAAGAGGGTGCTGCAGTGTGCTGCATCTACCCAGAGGGCCACGCACCAGCAGGCGGGCCTCCTTCGTTGAAAACGCCTCCTCGCTGCCAGGCTCCAGAGGAGAAGGCAGCGGCAGCGGCGGCGGCGGCAGCGAGGCCGGCAGGCTCTGCGCCGCCGCCGCAGACTGGGGCAGCAGCAGGCTGCTGGTGGCGGGGCCTGCCGAAGGCTGGAAGGAGGGTGGGGCCGTGAGGGAGGGTCCAGGGAAGGACAGGCTCGAAAGCTGCACGGAGCAGCAGGGCAGGCACCAGACCCGAGCAAAACCATCAGCTGGCTGGCTGGGGCTGCTCACAAACAGCGCCAGCAGGCACAGTATGGCTGGCATGCACGCCACACATAGACACGTCGCCACGCGGCGCCTTGCGTGAGGGAGGGGCATGCAGCGCAATTCTCACCTGCTGCTGCCAAGGGATCTGCGGCCTGGGCCAGCCCATCAGAGAGCAGAAGGGGCCCGACAGCGGCGGCGGCGGCGGCGGCAGCGGGGGCGGCTGCCCGGCGGCGGCCGCCGCCACAGCAGCCATGCTGTACTGCTGAAGCATCCAGGCGTACTGCGCCTGCTGCTGCCCGTGCTGCTGCACCAGCATGGCACGCTGCTGTTGCTCCGCCATCGCCTGGATCTGCTCGGCAGCTGCCGCGGCGGCCTTGCCGTCCCCGGCCCCATCGCCTGCTGCTGGCTGTGCGCCTGCCTGCTGCCCGGCCCCTGCCCCCGACGGCTGCTGGGATTGGGTGGGGCTGGCGACAGGAGCTTCGGCGGCGGGCTTAGCCTGGGCCTGCTGAGCCTGCTGCATGAACTGCTGGGCCGCCTGCTGCTGCTGGGGCGAGGGCAGAGCCGGCATGCCACCCCATCCAAAGTTGACTGGAGGCGCCATGAAAGGCGGCATGCCACCTGCACGCATCAGGCGAGGGCAAGCAGCCGGCATGTGAGACTCAGCAGCGCACTGGGAACAGTCTGAAGCAGGGGGGAGGTGCACCATGCGGGAAGAAATTGGGAGGCAGGCAGCTGGACGCACCAAACTGCGGCATGAGCCCGGCAGGGAAGGGCGGCGGCAGCATCTGCTGCTGCTGCTGCTGCTGCTGGGCCGCAGGCGCCGCGCCCTGCTGCTGCTGCTGCTGCGCCGACGCCGAGGGATGCCGCGGCGACTGCACCGGGCTGAGGCCTGCAGAGAGCTGGCGTGCCAGTGCCGCCACGGCCTGCTGCTGCGCCTGCGCCTGCGCCTGCTGCTGCGCCTGCTGCATGAACAGATGCGGCAGCGACTGCTGCGGGAACTGCGCCGCCGCTGCCTGGGCCCCCGCCGCCTGCTGCGGCTGCGGGAACAGCCGCGTGTCGGCAGATGCAGTCAAGCTCTCTGGCACGCTCCTGGGGGCGTGCGTCCCGGCGGAGGCAGCTGCCGCTGCCGCGGTGGCGCGCGTCAGCCTGCTGGCCTTGCCGCCGCCAGCAGCGGTGCTGGGGCCGCCTGGCGTGGCGCCTGCTGTGGTGGTGGTGGTGGCTGCCGTTCCGCCGCCCGGCGCGCCGGCGCTATTGAGGGGCGACCCGCTCTCCCTCAGGGAGGTCAGCGCCTCTGCCACCTCAGCCACCTCAGCCGCGCCACGCTGCCGCTCCGCCTCCTCCCGCTCCTCCTCCTTGATCTGCTGCAGCAGCAGCTTGCGCTGCTTGCGCTGCTGCTGCTGCTGCTGGAGGTTGGCGGGCCAGCAGGCGGCGGCCCTGGTGGGCGAGGGCTTGGAAGGAGAGCCGGCCGATACCGCCAGGGCCGCCTCAGGGGCTGCCAAAGCAGCGGCAGACGCCAACACGGGCGCCGTGCTGGGCAGCGGCGGCAGCCCGCTGCCGGGGCTGGCAGGCCCCACAGCGCCGCGCTGCAGCTGCTGCGCCACCGGCGAGGGCGGGGGCAGGCCCGCGGCCTTGCTCGTCACGCCGCCGTTGCCGTTGCTGCCATGGCCACCATTCCCGTTGGTGGTGCCGCCATTGCTCCTGCTCCCGTTGCCCGTGTTGCTTCCCATGAACTGGCCACCGCCAGAGGTCTGGCTGGCATCGAAGAGAGCCACGCCAGCACCTGCCGCAGCCTGCTGCTCCGCCGCCAGCGAGGGGCGCGGCGCCGGCAAGGGGAAGGCATTGGTCTGGATAGGCTGCTGCTGCTGCTGCTGCTGCTGCGCGCGGGGCGGGGGATGCGCCTCCTGCGCGGCAGCAGCAGCCGCTGCGGCTGCCGCGATTGCTGCCAGCGCATCCTGTGCCGCCAGCATAGGCTGCCAAGCAGCGGGCGCCTCGCTGCCAGCCTCGGCGGCGGCTGCGAAAGGCGCGGCAGAGCTATGTCGGTGGTGGGTGCGGTGGTGTGAGTGCTGGTGGTGGTGGTGGTGGTGCGAGCGCTGCTGGTGAGGCGGCAGCGGCGGCACGCCGGCCAGAGCCGGCTGTGCTGCCGTGCTGGCATCACATTGGATGCGGTCGCTATGGCCTGCAGGCAAGCAGCGGCGAGCCAGCACAAGGGGATGAGCTTGCTGTGCCATGGTCGGCTGATGCAGGCAACAAAGCAAGGAGTGGCACGCAACGGCATGCGGCAGGCAGCGGCGGTTGCATCCTCCGCGCCGCGCAAGCAGTCTTAAGCGGCGGCCAGCCTGCCGAACTGCCTGCTCACCCGGCATGAAGTGGCCAGTGGCTGAGGTGCCGTTGCCATTGCCACTGCCGCCCACGCCGTTGCCTGCAGCCAGCCTTGGAGCGTTCAAGGTGAGGCAGCAGCAAGCAGGCCTCGGGAACAGACCGCCGCCGCCAAAACAAGCCCGGCAGCCAGCCAGCCGCCGCCACCCACCGTTGCTGGCGCCGCCAGTGCCATTGTCGCCGCTGCCGCCGGTGTTGCTGCCGGCCTTGGCCATGTTGCGGCTGCTGCCGTTTCCATTGCCATTGGTCTGGCCAGCATCATCCACACCGCTGCCGCTGCCGGCGCCTGCACACGGGAAGCAGCACAGCGCATGCGCTCAAGCGGCGGCGCGGCGCCCAGCCCACCACACAGCGCAGGCAGCAGGCGTGTGCCAGGCCTATGTCGGGCCCCGCATGACAGCAGCCGCGCCACACCGTTGGTGTGCTGCTGCCCCTGCATGCGGCCGCCGCTGCCGCTGCCGTCTGGGGCGCTGCCCTCTTTCGAGGTTGGCTCCGTTTCCTCCAGCAAGCTGCACAGGGACGCGGGGACAGAGGTGAGCGCGCGGGCAGCGCGCGCGGCATGGAGCCACAGCGCAGGGCAGGGCCGCGCGAGCAGGAGCGAGCGGGCTAGCAGAGGGCTTCGTGTGCTGCAGCAGGACCAGGGGCGGCGGCTGCTCACGTGGCTGCTGCATCCGTGCTGTTGCCGCTGCCGGAGTCGTCCCTGCATGGGCTCTGTCCCGGCCCCTGCAGCAAGCAAGGGTGGGCTCGGCTTGAGTGGCCGAGCGCGGGGGCACCTCGCGAGCCCGCCGCAGTGGGGGGCAGGCAGGCGGGGCCGGCAGACGTCCATTGGCGGCCGCCCATGCCGCCCACGCAACCCCAACCGCGCTAGGGCCACCCTCAGCATGCCAGCCCGCTGCGTGGCTGACAGATGGTGGTTTGTGCCGCTTAAGGCCCCCTGGCGCCGCCTCCAGGCCCGGGCCCGCACCTGCTGCCGCCAAACGCGGGTCCACAGCATGTGCACTTCGTTGGGCCGCAGCGGGCGCACCCAGAAGTCCACCGCGCCGCTGGACAGGCATTTCAGCACCACCTCGCGGCTGTCCTGGTTGGACACGACTGCAGGCAGGGGAGGGAGGGCCCCGGCGTGGAGGTTGGCAGGCCTGGGCGGAGGGGCGGTGGCGCGGTAGGAGCCCATGGCTCAGGGTCAGCGGCCGGCGCTCCCCGCTCTGGCGCAGGGCTGGGGGGTGCCCAGGTCTCCCAAGGAGGTCGCCTGTGGGGCTTGGGGGCCTCGCGGTCGAGGCGATATTTTTCGTGCGTGATATCTGGGCGCGCGCGAATTGTGGGCGATGTGCACCAGCGGCCCCTGCGGGCCCCCAACCCTGCCCCAACCAGCCCAGGCAACAAGGGACGGGCCTCCCGGGGCGGCCCTGTCGCCCAGCGGCGCCACTCACCGACTGTGGGGATGCTGCGTAGGCTGGGGTGCTCGCTGAGCCTGTGCAGGAAGCGCACGGCGTTGGAGCCGGGCGGGTCGTGATTTTTAAGGATCACGTCGACGTCCGGGCTGCCCGTGGCCGCCGCCCGCTCCTCCAGCAATTGCAGCGCGCTGCCGCCGGACTGCGCCTCCACCGTCTGCGGCGTGGGGGGCATGGGGTCCCGTGAGCAGCCTGTTGGCTGGGGCAGGCGGGCCAGGGGCGGCGGCAGCAGCAACTTACCGAGTAGCCCGCCGCCTCCAGGAGCCGCAGCGTGCTGGCCCGCGCGCTGGTGTTGTCTATCACCAGCACGGTAATCGTTGGCACCGCCATTTCCGTTGGTGTGGCCTTCATCCCGGCGAGGCTGCCATGTTTACGTGCCCTTGCTCCCTGGGCTGGTGAGTGCGTGGTTGAGAAGAACAGGTCGTTGAAGAGGTAGAATGAGAGTCGTAGAGTTGACGGGCTGCTGGAGCTGGTCGCACCTCATAGCGAGCTGGCGCGCCACACAATATCTGGCATTAAGATCTTCCAAGTTTGGCACTCGCCAAAGCTCGCGTGCTTGCCAGCGGCATCAGCAAATGAAGGGAGCCGAAAAACAGCAGCCATGCACGGCTTCCGGCCGCGCCGCAGCCGCCGCCGCCGCCGGCACCCGCCCGCACAGCCACCATGTGCTGCAACTCACCACCCCATGTCTTGGTGAGCAGGCCTGAGGCTCACACCTAGTCCTGTTGCAGCACCGCCACCAACCCCCTGCCCTGCCCAGCAGGACCCGCCCCTGCCCACCTCCACTGCCCCCGACCCGCGCTGCCGAGCACGGGTCAAAAGGGGCCCGAGACGTCCCACAGTGTGCAATGTCCATGTTCATGAGTTGTGTTAGGGAAGAGGGAGGCGATAACTTAGCTGTGCAGCGACGGGGAGGGAGGGCGCAAACTGGGCAAGGCCACGAGGGCCAATGTATGTGCATGGGCTGG